CTGCCCCGTAACTCTAGGATCGATTGCTGGTCTGCCGAGACGAAGCAGTTCTTGGGCGTGTAGCTGCCGTCGTAGATGATCTGCAGGAGCTGCTTGCCGTCCGTCACTTCGCGGAAAATGAAGCTCGGCTCGTTGGCAGTCGATGGGGTACCTCTCATCGTCTCGCCGGTCGCCGTCTCCAGGGCGATTATTCCCCCGTGTCGAGCCGCTATCGTCCGCTCGCCAACTTTCCGATGCACGCTGACAAAATCAGCCCGTGTCCCACCGATAACTTCGTCAGCTGGGATAAAAGCGCCAAAAACGTGGAGTGCGTTCATCATAATCAAAAACGCAGTTGGCATCTTTCCAACTTGAAGATGCATCTTTACACAGTTGAAAATATTTCTCCAATCAAGCGCACGACCAATAGTTCTTTTTCAGAAAAACACTTCCTAATTTGACCACAATAATGTAGCAAAAACCAAATCCTCTTCAAATGTTGTAAGGGATGTGTATCAGATGGTGAGTTGTATCCGTGGAGATGACAACTCCTTTGCTTGTTCGTGGTGACTTGAAAAATACAGAAATCTTCTTCCAAGCGCGGCAGAAATGGGCGTTCCTATCTTGCTACACCTCGAGCAGGCAAATGATAATACACGTATTGGCAACCTCAAGTTGTTCAACAGTGAATTAACTCGGCATGTGGGCCGGGTGGGATGGTCCTAGCTCTATGGGTTTATACACGTCATTCAAGCACGTGGTCTGTGTGTGTGTAGTATTCGCAGTCAATGGTTGTGAATGAACGAGTGCATGAATGGGAGACTAGCCTTGAAAACGTAGCCAACCAACTAAGGTGTCCCTGAAAGGACACCCCGGTCGTAAAATTCTTTGAAAACATCCTTTTTTTGGCAAACTCCGAGGACAATTTCGATTTGTTTCCCGCAAAAAGAGTCCGATTCACAAAACAAGGAAAATATGAAGTTGGTCTTTGAGCACGATTCTAAACATTGGATTCAGAATGGCTTTTCATGCATCTGGTCTACTATGGGCCGGATTTAGTCCATGCAATGGCGTTGACGTTACGGGGTAATCCTATTAGATGGCACTGCCCGGCTTACCGTAAGTGACAGTCATGAAAAACATCCAGAGTCTATGGAAATTATTGGAGGGAAAATCGGATTTTAATTCTCAGCTACGTGTTGTGGCTATTGCAGGACACCCTACTAGAGTTCACTGTTGTGACCATCTGTGTCTTGACCGCACCGACCTTTTTGTTGTATTTGTGGGCGCAGACACGGGGGTTGCAGAATTCCATGGAAGAAATTTGGACATCGTGACGTCAAGATACAAAAAACTACGTCATATACGTCAGCTCTAATTTCTCATAATCGTGCACTATATGTACACCATCAGGTTTTCCTGTACGACCTTGACATAAAGCTGATGGAAGGTACAGATGTTAGTAGAAAGTGTTGTTCCCCCTCCTTGCTCTTGCAACGAGTTCACATTATGCCTAAAGCGATTCCCAGAAATTTAAAAAGGCGAGTGGCCACCGTCCTGCTAATGCCGACAGTAGGCTAAGATTCACGAGTCGGCCATATTAAAGTGAAAGCGAGGTAAAATCTTCATTTTTGGAACTTGCGAATAGAAATGAAAGCAATGAAATACAGTAAATTACAAATAAATACCAGTCAGCTCTTATGAATAATTAAAAATATGTGACTAAAGTATCATAATGTTTTAAGCCACATTTAAATCAAAATTGAATGTGAGGCTTGGAAATATAGTCTGTATACGTAGTAACATCCCATTCAACAGTTTGCAATTTATAAAATGTATTCAGGGAACGCGATGAAAAATGGCTTCCTCGGGCATGAGCTATAGGTCTTTACTATACCTCATACATATTCATGACCGAAAGCCGAATTCTCACTGGTCCATTCAACATCACGTGCCAGATGTTATTTTTGCTGTTTACCAAACGCGCGCGCGAATATTCATGCACAGGCTAAGTACGCATGCGTAGTAGACTGTCGCACGGGTTACCCTTCGCTCGTACCCCCCGCCCTGCAAACAGGACGCTGGGATACTCTGATGAGCTTCACAGAATCTTGTGAAGGAAGTGGCCTATGACCTATGTATAAAGCATCTGGCTGCAGCTGTTCAAGACCGCAGTTAGACAATGTGCGCAAATGCTATCCGAAAACTTGCCTTAGAATTGCGCACATTTCATACCGGATGGGATTTCTGTTTCATTGAGGACCATGCGGACAAAATTTTGAGCGTTGCATAATGCAATCCGACCGTTCGTGATTCGAAACGGAGCCTGAGCGAGTGACGGGAATTGTAAATTTACAACATATGTAAGTTTACAGAATTTCCTACATTATTACACTTTTCAACGAAGAAAAAAGCATATCTAAACTGGAATAAAAGAGTAATGAATCAGTCTTAACGTCTTAAACCTTGCAGAGTCATGACCTTTATGACGCGCAGGTCACTGGTAACGCAAAATCCAACCAATCAGAGCGTGAATTCATCAGAGTATCACAGCGTCCTGTTTGCAGGGCGGGGGTACGAGCGAAGGGTTACCCGTGCGACAGTCTACTACGCATGCGATTTACGAAGCAATCGTTGAACTGTCGCACGGGTGAAGCACGCACGCGCGAACATCGCCCTATAGCTACACATGAAACGATGGTTGCACATCGTAAATGATGATAAGCGTTTTCCCCAGCTGAATGATGCCAAATTGGAGAATATTGTGGACAATTATAAAGATGCATGTGCTAAAAAAAGTTGTCCACAAACAATTGTACTTACAACCGTATAGTTACTGTATTGCAAACAAACTGATATTTTCGGAGTTTGAGCAATATTATTCTTCCGGTGAGCTGGACAAGTTTCTCCACAGATTTTTTTGCGGATGCATACTGCGGGAAAAATCGGCAACTTAATATGTATGACTATGAGGTATAGTAAAACAAATATAACATGGTTTATTTCGGGAGGACAGCCAATATTAGCTTCCCTCGTTATTGGAAATTGACAAACTAGTTCCCTCGGCTTCGCCTCGGGAACTAGTTTGTCAACTTCCAATATCCCGGGGGGCGAATATCGACTGTCCACCCTCAAACCATGTTATATTTGTATAATAGATCAAGTGCCCTGGGTGTTATGCCAACAGGCAACCGCCGGACAACCCCAAACATGTAAGCATCTTTGGCATGCTATTTGGCCAACATCAAACAGTATACTATCAACACTTTTCAACCATTCATATTTCAAGAGATATACATGCAGTGATTCTGTAAACAAAATGTCACATATGATACTGTACATGGTCCCACAGAATTCATTGGAGGTGAGGTACCATGCATGTTACGACATACTACATGTACTCGATATTCTGTAGTATTGTCTCTTCGTCCATGCCCTAGCAACAAACTGCATAAACAAAGCACATTATATAGATACATGTGTCTTTGGGTGAAGCACCGAATGCTAAAAAAATACTTTAAGTATACTGTGCACTTATACGTTAGAGTACTGCATACTACAAATTAATACTACATGTATTACTTTTATTTTGGTAAAACTTTAGGTGGGTTACTAATATTTTGTTTTGGGTACAAAGTCATAAAGTAAAGAGAGAGGATGTTAATTTCAAGGGCTGATCTGGGGGGCCAATGGGGGCTATGCCCCCCCCCAAAAAAAACCCACTGAACCCAAATATTTTGTTTTTAAGTGACGTCGCAATAAAGGCAGGCACTGCGTACACCACTATCTTTTCGTCCAAAAGATTTAGTTAAGTGGTCAGAAATTGCCTCAGATCGCACCACATCATCTAGAATCCAAAACAAATCGGGGCCCTGAAGCGAGCCCCAAACCCCACGCCGTAGTTTTGGGGACCCACTTTTTGGGGGACCACACTTTTTTGGGCATGCCTCCCCCCCCCCCCCCAAAAGAAAAATTGTGTTCTGGATCGCTCTTGTTTATTTGCATGTGGAATAATGTTTAAGGTGTAACGTTCGTTGTGTTGGCGAAGGGAACGTTATTATGTCGAACCCCAGCCAATATGAATCAAAATGACATGTATTTAAATGCCCTTGAACAAACACTATCATGATTTACGGTAACTGTAGACTCATTGCCATATTGAGACATTGTTATTTAGTGTCAACTTGAACAGAACGATAACAATACAAGTTACTGGTGCAAAAATGACACTTAGTTTGTACACTTTTGCATGTGGATAATTTCAGCGTTATCAGAGCCACTTAATCATGATGTTTTATCAATGATTCAGAGAAATGATGCAAAGCTCCTATAGTCTGTAATCTCCTTGACCATTACTATAGATAATGGGTGTATATACGATTTGAAAAGTACATATTTTCAGCTTTATTCACTGAGCTCTTAAGACTTAAAAGCTCTGACACGACATCACATTTGCTTGAATTGCCAATGTGTATATAAAAAGTGGTGGGGTGAATATTGTTATACTTTTCTTGCTGTTCGGGTATAACGACAACCCGGTTAAAACGACTGATTTGGGTGTGACCAACCACCAACACAGGACCTCGTTATAAAGGGAGTTGGCTGTGTGTAGTGATTTTAACATATCAATCAGATGCCAACTTTTTATGATGTGAAAGTCCTGCAGGAAATCACGTCATATGGGGAAAATGGGGGAAAAGGCCAAGGGGACAACGAAAACAGAAACCCCGGGTAAGTGCAATGACATTTTGGCAATAACAATTTTCCCTAACTCCGGATTTGACCAAAACAGGACTAGATCAAAACAGGACCTCGTTATAAAGGGAGTGGACTGTGAGCAGTGATTTTAACATACGGGAGATCAATCAGGTGCCAAATTTTGATGTGAAAGTCCTGCAGGAAATCACGTCATGTATAAATGGGGGAAAAAGGGAAAACTAAAAAAGAAACCCTGGGTAAGTCCAATGACATTTTTGGCAAGAACACTTTTCCCTAACTCCGGATTTGAGGCGGATATGGAACTTGGATTCCAATCAAAATCCGTGTTTAGGGAAACTACCAGCAAGGTGTTCCCTGGCAAACACGGTGCATGTGATGCAATATCGGGGTTAAAGGCCCCTCAAAACAATGTGCCAACGTTTTGCGCATGTGTGTATAAAAACAGTTGATCACCGCTAAGATAATCATTAAGTCACTGCGACCAGTCCTGTAGAGATCAGTGCTTGTGATTTCTGCTTCTGGGTTTTTGATTTTCGCAAGATGAGTTTTCTCACACATTTCACAGTTTTCGTGTTGGTGGTACACGGGATAAGTAATGTAGCTTCCCACCGTGTAGAAACTCCGGGCTTAGATCAACGTGCACCGGGGACGTCTGGGGAGCGACGGGGGGAATCGACGCGGAACGCCCGCGGAGATTCGGCAGGGACCCCGCAACTGGTCGAGTCCGAGCGGAACATCCGCGGTTACGACCAGAGACTGATCCATGGCACTAGGAGCAAGCGGGGGGCTTTCATCGTGGACGGGACAAAGTGGTGCGGGATAGGAAACAATGCTGATAACTACGACGACCTCGGTGTTCACCGAGAGACCGACATTTGCTGCCGGGACCACGACCACTGCCCTGAACATATCGCCGGCTTATCAAGGGGATACGGACTGTTCAACAGTCTTCTTTATAGCATCAGTTTGTGCAGTTGCGATGAAAGGTAAATCATTACTAGTCCTCACGAATCCTCACAATTCCATCACATGTCTTTACTAGTCCACTACAAGTTCCTCAGTCTCAAATCGAGTCATAATATTCAATTGAACTGTGAGAAAGCATTCCTTTGCTTTACTTGTGACCGGACTTGTACTCAACTTCAAAATTGCTTACGAGACTGATTATCTGAGAAACTCCCTAAGGTTTGCCACCTTTACACACCATATAAAGTAATTTCTATTCTATCACTCGTGGCAGAAGATATTTACATATGGCATTAATTAATGGGACTACGTCCTGGAAAGCGCCCAATTGGGCTACAACGTTTTGAACGAAACGATGTTAATCGGAAAGAACATTCAAAAGTAAGATATAAACATCCACATAACCATCCTTTAAAACGTTTTTGTGTTCGCCTTTTGCGGATGTGTAAGAAAGCACACAATCCAAAGCATGAAATGTTCGGGGATTTCAGGACCGCAGTACCCCTTTAACACGCACAGCTACGTGTCGAATACGACTACGAGTACAATCTACAGTTTGAAGTTCGTGGTTGCTTTCGAAATTATGTCGGTGAACGGCAAAAAAACCAAAGTGGGAGGTCGACCTATCTATAGACTGTCAGGAACATTCTTGGGACAAATAGCATTTTTTCTCTCCTAAATACTTAGATAAAACACGATAATCAAAAAATATTTTAAAAATGTAGATACAGATTATTATTAGTTAGAGTATTTTTTTATATCTTGGAATTTATTGCAAATTCCAGACAGAATAAGGAACAACATAGCTATGGATATATTTTCATATTATTTATAAAAATATCCTTCGGCAACATCGTCAGAACAAAATAAACTAGGCCTACATAGTATGTTACTCTCCGAAGAATTCAAAACTTACGTGTTCAGGAATAATTTGAAAAACAATAACTGTAAGGAAGATGAAAGTTACCCGTGATATATTTGAATAACTTCGTCTCATTCTTTCCTCTCTTTTTTGCGTCCCAGTTTCCGTTTGTGTCTTCGAGCAGCCAACACGAGCGTTGCGACCGAGGTGGGCCGGTTCTTCTTTGACACTCTCCGCCCTTCATGCTTCGAGTTATCGGACGAGCTGACCCCGCGATGCGTGCGGCGATACTGGTACGGTGCCTGCCGGGAGTACGGGCTGCCGGAGAGGACGGCGGTGGTGGGCACGAACAAACACTTTAACGGCGAGGAGTACGAGGAGTACGAGGAGAACGAGGAGTACGAGGAGTACGAGGAGTACGAGGAGTACGAGTACGAAGACTAAAATTCACCGGCTCGGGAAATGAAGAACTGTTAACATGTTATGTAGCTTGTTAGTACATGTCACCGATCCACTAAGCCACGCCCTTCGATGTTTTGACCACTCACGGCTGTTATTTATGCACATGTGCACATCTGCATATGACGCGCGCGTCTAGAACGCGCAGTGTGGGATTGGAGAGGTGCACGTTCTGTTGCACACGTGAGTGGGAGGGGCCTAATGGATCCGTCCATTATTTCATAGTTTCGAATATTAATAGCCTAGCCGTGACACAATGAATTTGTATTGTATGTTAACAAGAACACATGTACCAAATACAATACCACCCACGCTATTCATCATTTTTATGGAGAGAAAAGAAATCACCGCTATAAATCGGCAAAATACGTACACTGTCAGCCAAATAATGGCATCATGAAGAGCGCCTCTTTCTGTTAGATGGTGTCCAATCCAATTGTGGATGAACAGCGCCCCTTAGTATATGCATTTTTTTCATCATGGAAAGAATGCTGCATCCTGACGCCACTTTTTTCCATTACGTATATGTCAATGAAGGGCAAACATTGCAAAAATGTTGAAAAGACATAAATCTGGGACTGAAAAACATTTCCAATTTTGTAAGGAAATACTTCATGACTCTCCATGTTCATGACTCTCCATAGACTTTGTACACGACCAAAGAAGTGGCGTCTGGATACTACATTCTTTCCATCATCATTAACAATGTACACATAAAAGATAATTACAATTTACATGTATGTACATATAATAAATATACTTACTTCTTTTTTTAAATTCAAATTTATTCTCAGATTTACCACAAACTGACAACTTCTTTTCTGTTTCCTAAGTAAGCTACTGACCATCAACGTAGGCGAGATAATGAGGGAAGGGGAACGTTACAACTGCCAAAATTTCCAAGATTTGGGGGAATTTTTCTCAAGATTCGAAATTCCTTTTATAAGCAAACCGTGCAAAGAGTAGTTGGGTGGGGCATGGTAGGGGAAGGAGGGGAAGGAGGGGTTATTGTCCAAAAAGGTTATAATTTTTTGGATGAAGGTCTGAGAATTAAAACTTTGAAGCGATCCAAAGAAGAGTGTTCTGTGTTTAAAAAGTAGTTTAACTCTAACGATCCCCAACCAGCCAAACTCCAACACCAGGGTTTGTTGGAATCTGTTAGGATGAGTACTGCACTAGTAAACTGACCATGCTTTACATGGGATTAGGCATACCACAAATAAACAGAGTCCAACTGTTAATTTGCACAGTTTACCATATGGTGTTGGGATTTGCAAGGATGAGGAAGGTTCCTCGTAAATCACTTTAGTGACTACAGTGTATACAGTTTCCTTAAATATGAGCGCCCTCTATTGGCAGCCGTTGGATAGTCTAAACGACAGACTGCACCGATACACATGTACATAATACAAGTAAAACATTAAAAGAATAATCATATTTACAAATTCATTTTTCAAGTTCAAGTTTAGTAATTGTTAATTTAATATCAATGATACACAGATGGTAATCGACTTTTGTTTTTATATCGTTAACTATTTTTAGTAAAAGAGAAAACAAAAATACGTAAAAATCACTTGTCACTGAACTAAGGGTTTACCTTTCCATTTTTGTTTATTAATTAAAAAGCTGACGCCATGTTGCTGGCCTTTTTATATGTTTCAAATCATTAATGAAGTCTTGCTGCTAGACCTCTTGACGCAACATTGTTCTTTTTGCTGATTACCAAAACCCCCCAGAATGACTGGCCTACATGGGCGTCGCGAGGGGGGGGGGGGTCAAGAGGGGGCACTTGCCCCCCCCCCCCCTGGAAAAGCAAAAAAAAAAAAAAAAAAAAAAAAAAGGGAAAAAAAGAAAAGAAAAAGAGGCGCGAAGACAAAGTGGTGTAAATTTAATGAGTTGGGGGGGGGGGGGCAAAATGTCCCTGTCCCCCTCTAAAACTGATAAATCGAGAATGTGTTGAGAAATACAAGCATTTTTTGGCAAAAAAAATGTTTGCCCCCCTCTAGAAAAAATCCTGGCGACGCCCATGCCGGCCTATTCTTTGGCTGTCCACAGACTCCATAGTGACGGTATTTAAAAGAATAGCCAAAGCCACTGACTATAAAAAGCCATTTTTTGACATAAGTGCAAGGACATTTTGGCAAGACACTTTCCCTAACTTCGGATTTGAGGCGGATATGGGACTTGGATTCCAATCAAAATACGTGTTTAGGGAAACTACCAGCAAGGTGTTTCCTGGCAAACACCGTGCATTCATGTGATGCACTATCGGGGTTAAAGGTTCATCTGAAAACAATGGGATAACGTTTTGTGCATGTGTGTATAAAAATAGTTGATCACCGCTAGGATGATCATAAAGTCACCGTGACCAGTCCTGTAGAGATCAGTGCTTGTGATTTCTGCTTCCGGATTTTTGATTTTCGCAAGATGAGTTTTCTCACAACTTTCACGGTTTTCGTGTTGGTGGTACACGGGATAAGTAATGTAGCTTCCCATGTAGAAACTCCGGTGTCACGGTCTCACTTCTCCGGCGTGCTAGCTTCTCCGGGTTGATTCGGCGGATAATTGAGCACGTTACAGTGCACGTTACATGAGCACGATTCATGCTCATGTGTCCGCTGTGCTTACTTTTCCTAGGGCTGTTTTCTGAAGTCTATTAAGCCCATTAATAACACAGTGAGGGACACCCAAGAATGTGTTATGTAACACTTCCTGTGGGTCAAGTCATTCCATGGTCTTGCAAGCATTCTGATTTGTGTTCCCAGCGTCATGCATGTGTGTGTATGCATGGAGGAATAATTAAGAACGAACTCCTTGGTCCGTGTTCCTTGCTCGTTCGTGGTCCATTTTGTCCTTATTTTTGCAACCACGGCTTAAAATAAATGTGCATTTCAAATTCAAGTGCGCGCCACGAAAATTCAATGCATACAAATATCTTACGTACACATCTTACGTACAGCCCCGAAAAACTCAGCACACTAAATACAGTGACGAAAATGTACACTACTGCGCAATTGTGTGCATGCGTGTTGAAGCGAAATTTCCCTTTTGGAGAAGCTAGCACGCCGGAGAAGTGAGACCGTGACACCGGGCTTGGACCGTACCAACGCGCACCGGGGACGTCCGGGGAGCGACGGGGGGAATCGACGCGGAACGCCCGCGGAGATTCGGCAGGGACCCCGCAACTGGTCGAGTCCGAGCGGATCAACGTCCGCGGTTACGACCAGAGGCTGGTCCACGGCACTAGGAGCAAGCGGGCAGCTTTCATCGTGGACGGTACAGTGTGGTGCGGGGTTGGAGACACTGCTGATAACTACACCGACCTCGGTGTTCACCGAGAGACCGACATTTGCTGCCGGGACCACGACCACTGCCCTGAAAAGATCGCCGGCTTATCGTGGGGATACGGACTGTTCAACTTTGTTCCTTACACCGTCAACTTGTGCAGTTGCGATGAAAGGTAAATCATTAGTCCTCCCGAATCCTCACAAGTCCATCACATGTCTTTACTAGTCCACTGCAAGTTCTTCAGTCTCAAATTTAGTCATAATATATTCAAATGAGAAACCATTCATTTACTTTATTTGTTGACCGAACTTGTACTCAACTACAAAATTGCTTACGAGACCGATTATCTGAGAAACTTTCTCAGGTTTGCCACCTTTACACACCATCAGGTAATTTCTATTCTATCACTCGTAAAGTAAAGTTTGTGCATTGTTGCAATGCTTTGTGTAATATTTATGTGACACACAACGTGTATCGTACATTGAAATAAAACGACAGGAAAAACGTATGCGTACACCGTCCAGCGCATGACTCCGTCGTGTCCGATGTAGACAACCGGGCTTTTTTTACGTCTTTTCTCGGGAGCGGTGAGACATTGGGTTGGTTTCCTTTCTACCAGATGTTTCAAGGAGGATAAGTAAACATTACTATCCAAAGCATGAAATGTTCGGGGATTTCAGGACGCAGTGCCACTTTAACACGCGCAGCTACACGTGTCGAGTACGAGTATGTAATAGTTCGAAGTTCGTGGTCGTTTTCGAAATTATGTCGGTGCCAACGGCAAAAACCAATGCTGGAGGTCGACCTATCAAGACTATCAGGAACAGTCTTAGGACAAATAGCATTTTTTTTTCTTTTCTAAATACTTAGATAAAATACAATAATCAAAATAATATTTCTAAAATATAGATATGGATTATTAGAATCTTTTTTTTTATATCTTGGAATTTATTGCAAATTCCAGTCAGAATAAGGAACAACATAGCTATTGAAATATTCACATATTATTTATAAAAATATCTTCGCTCGTACCCCCCCCCCCCCCCCCCCCCCCCGCCCTGCAAACAGGACGCTGGTAAGGGCTGACGTCATTCAAGCTCTCATTGGATAGATTTTGCGTGAGGCGGGGGTACGAGTGAAAAAAAAATATCCTGCGGCAACATCGTCAGAACAACATAAACTAGGCCTTCATAGTATTACTGTCTGAAGAATTCAAAACTTAACGCATTCAGATAATTTGAAAAAAAATAACTGTAAGGAAAATGAAAATTACCTGTGATATCATTTTTGAATAACTTCGTCTCATTCTCTTCTCTCTTTTTTTGCGTCCCAGTTTCCGCCTGTGTCTTCGAGCAGCCGACACCACCGTTGCGACCGAGGTGGGCCAGTTCTTTTTCGACACTCTCCGCCCTTCATGCTTCGAGTTATCGGACGAGCTGACCGCGCGATGCGTGCGGCGATACTGGTACGGTCTCTGCCGGGAGTACGGGCCACTGGAGCGGACGGCGGTGGTGGGCACGAACAGACACTTCAACGGCGAGCAGTACGACGACTAATTCACCGGCTCGGGAATAAAAACCGGGGTTAACATGTTATGTAGCTTGTTAGTACATGTCACCGATCCACTTCTAAGCCCCGCCCTTCGATGTTTTGACCACTCACGGCTCTTATTTATGTACATGTGCACATCTGCATATGACGTGCGCGTCTAGAACGCGCAGTGTGGGATTGGAGAGGTGCCTTCTGTTGGACACGTGAGAGGGCGGGGCCTAATGGATCCGTCATTATTTCATACTTTCGAATATTAATAGCCTAGCCGTAACACAATGAATTTGTATTGTACATTAACAAGAACACATGTACCAAATACAATACCACCCACCGCTATTCATTATTTGTATGGAGAGAAACAAAATCAACTAATAGAACTATTCGGCAAAGATACGTACGAGTTCAACCAAATAATGTCATCATGAAGAGCGCCACTTAGTGTCAGATGGTGTCCAGTCCAATATTGTGGGTGAACAGCGTCCCCTATCATATGGTGGTTATCATCATGCAAAGAATGTTGCATCCTGACGCCACTTTTTTTCCATTATGTATCATGTCAATGAAGGCCTTACATCGCAAAAATGTTGAAAAGACATAAATCAGGGACTGAGAAACATTTCCAATTTTGTAAGGAAATACTTTATGACTCCGATCCATGTTCATGACTCTCCATAAACTTTGTACACAACCAAAGAAGTGGCGTCTGGATACTACATTCATGCATCATCATTAATCATGTACTCAAAAAATACATGTACATAATACATAAATTTACTCTCTTCTTTAATTCAAATTCATTCTCAGATTTACCACAAAATATAACTTCTCTTCTGTTTCCTAAGTAAGCTACTGACCATCAACGTAGGCGAGATAATGAGGGAAGGGAAAAGTTACAACTCACAAAATTTCCAAGATTTGGGGGAATATTTCTCAAGATTCGAAATTCCTTTTATAAGCAAACCATGCAAAGAGTAGTTGGGTGGGGGCATGGTAGGGGAAGGAGGGGAGGGGTTATTGTCCAAAAAAGTTATAATTTTTTGGATGAAGGGTCTGAGAATTAAAACTTTGAAGCGATCCAAAGAAGAGTGTTCTGTGTTGAACAAATACAGTAGTTGAACCCTAACAATTGGCAGCCATTGGATAGTCTAAACAGACTGCACAGATACACATGTACATAATACAAGTAAAACATTAAAAGAATAATCATATTTACAAATTCATTTTTCAAGTTCAAGTTTAGTAATTGTTAATTTAATATCAATGATACACAGGTGGTAATCGACTTTTGTTTTTATATCGTTAACTATTTTAGTAAAAGAGAAAACAAAAATACATAAAAATCACTTGTCATTGAACTAAGGGTTTACCTTTCCTTTTTTGTTTATTAATTAAAAAGCAGACGCCATGTTGCTGGCCTTTTTATATGTTTCAAATCATTAATGAAGTCTTGGTGCTAGACCTCTTGACGCAACATTGTTCTTTTTGCTGATTACCAAAACCCCCCAGAATGACTGGCCTGTCCATAGACTCCATAGTGACGGTATGCATAAGAATAGCCAAAGCCACCGATTATAAAACCCATTTTCGACATGGCTTTAGTAGTCTTTGTCGGAGACTGAATTTGGATGTTATTCCCCTGATACAGCCAGTCAAGTACATGTAGTAAAGCTTGAATCACATCCAGCCTTGGGAATTTTGGCAGTGCTACCCGAAAATTCCCAGCATACACCACATGCTCTGTATTCAAGCTAACGCACACGTGTGAGGTATGCTCTGAATTTCCTGGGTAGCGCTGCCAAAGTTCCCCGCACTTGTCAGAGACCGGCTGCTTTAGGGGAAAAAAGTGTCAGCCTTGAGCCAAGTCTACTGTGGTTTCAGAGTTTGGACCCTGTCTTGTACCAAGACTTCATCCAATGTGTTTCTCTGTTTACAGACAAAGGTACCAGGGGTAACTGACCATTTAAAAGACTACATAAGTACTGGTTTCTTAAAAACATCACAAAGGTTCACATCTAGAAATGGCTAGCCATTTAGAACTATCGTCCTGATCTCTCAAGAGCAGGAAAGGAGGAAAAAACAACTCATTCAGCGTCTACACGACTCTCTTAATAAAAAACAAAACCTCACAAATCTAGGCCGCGTTGACAATGTCCCATTCCTAAACATTAAAAACAACCAATCTTAAAATTGTGTTTTTGTTTGTTTCTTAATGGCATTAATGCCTGCAACATTCATATCTCAGTGCTACTTCTTCACAATTGTTCGCAAAAATTCAATCGTAAACTTGCAGTCAAAATTCATTCAACAAAAAGTCTGAATGCACAAACAGAAATTTTTTAAAAAGCAGGTATTGTTGGGAAATTTCATTCGCGAATCAACAGAATTTTTAGGTTGAACTCGAAGAAACCACTAGTCGATCAGAATTTTTCAAAATGACTGATGACAAATTTAGCAACTTCTTGCACTCGACGAGATTGTTAAACATTTCGCATTTTGTTATGTCCCCATAACAGCTTGTTTCAACTTCAGTGTGCAAACTCAGCTCAACTCAAGTTTTAAACTAACGATTCAACGATTAAAATATTGGGGTCTTCCAAACAAATGGATTTCAAATAATGTGATAATGCCAACACATGGAATTTAGGAGAATCCACACTTTAAAATCCATTTACATCGCCACTTTCGGTTAAAACCCAAAAGTTTAGTTCAATTGGGCAGATGACAATGACAATGAAATCAATTGGGCATATGACAATGACAATGAAATCAATTGGGCATATGACAATGAAAATGAAATCAATTAGGCATATGACAATGAAAATGAAACTGTATGAGTAACACTACAAGTAATGTAGGGTGTAGGGCGTCTCAAAAAAATGTAGCAGTCAATCCCTAAATATTAAAAATACTAACACTCTCTTTTTGCAAAACTTATCTATAGAGTCTGAAGGTGTAGTAAATACTCTACACAATGGTCTTTATCCCATCTCAATTGGACACCCCAGTCCAGAAATACAGCTAATTAAATGAAAGGACTTGAATTCCAAGTTGGGCCACTTCGTATCCAATGAAAGGCATTCACATACCAAGGTGAAGAAAGTGGTCCAAACAGAATTGGACAGTCTTTACAAGCTTTGCCGTAACTTTTAAACAGAAGGCCCAAATCACACAGAACAAAAATCCTGTCAAGGGTAAAGAAACACTATCATCTCGTGGTAACATTTTTGTACAAGAAACAATTCAGTTTCTTCAGAAAAAAAATGTTGTTTTGCCTGCTACTTTTTTTTTTACGACACCCATCGATAATGGCAAATTTTTCTTTTTCGCTATAACACAATTTAGAGTCAAAGATCTATTAAGCTCCACCCAATAACGTTTCGACCAATCACAGCCGTGCGCAGTGGGCGGGGCTTATTGGACTGTTCCATTTACTTCCGGTGTAAGGAGTACTTCAAATTAAACTTTTCTGTGACTGATTAGAATATTCATGGTGACAGTTACACTGGAGTAACAATTGTAATACTGCAGAATTCCTAGTCAGCATTAATTTATGCAATGACCTGTGACCTTGACACGCCCACAGAGAGGGAAAGAAACCCTCACAGACTGTGACACTTGAGCTACGCCCATCACATGCTAGTCAAATAAAAAAAAACCTACAAGTACGTGGTTACAAAAAAAACATGAGTGGTGAGAGAAATCAGATATTTCAAAATCCGGTTATGCAATTTGTTTCCAAACTGAGTAAACGGTTATCCAATTTCACCGGAAGCTTTCATCAAGCTCATAGTCATACCAACAAAAAAAGTGACGAGTGAGGTGCCGCATGAAATGCCCTCCACAATAACTGGGTATAGTTTGCAGGATTCAATGACCGCTGAACCTTTACAAAAACACTCCAGAGGCTATTCTTAAATGAAAAAGACCGCCAGCGAGTGAATGCAGTTGCTATCACAGAACATGGAGCAAATCAGGGGACGTACCAGTTGTTGTATTTTAACTTTTGTCACACAAAAATGGAAGATAATATTTTGTGAAGGTTGTTTTCGAACATCAGGGTTCTGCAAAATTCCAAACCGAATAACTGATTTCAAACCAAATTTTAAAAGATCAGAGTTTTAAACCCAAAACTACCCCCCCCCCAGTTTTTCATGACTTCTTATACTTCCCATACATAATGCAGCTTTTTGAGTTAAATTTGGCAGATTCGGGGTTCAATTCTCACACACTTCTAACTTTTTTGTTGGGAACTATATTTCTAAAAAATAAAATTGAAAAAAAAAAAAAAAAAATAGCAGCACACAATACTGAATTTTAGCTCTATAAAAAACTGTAATGATATCCTGGTAAAAAAACCGTAAATGTGGTAGGATCACCACGTAATAGGGGAAGAGGAGTTTCCAACGAATAGGACCCTAAATCTTTCCAAAATTTCACTTCCTCATTTTTAGGTGTGGCACTCCATAGCTCTAATTTTCGCGTTCATGAATCCACAGATATCACTTTTATTCAAAACTAACAAGATTAATTTTAAAGTCCAAGAGAGAAATTGAAAAGTTTCTCTGTCAATTAAAAAAAAATAAAATTAAAATTGGTTTTGTTTTCCTGCCAGAACACACCTTACCTTAGTATCGACCATCAACGACATACATAACAAGTTTAAGAAAACTGCTGCACACATTGTAGTCTTGGCTGAAGACGGAATTTGTTTCATTTTTCTACAGTTCGTCCCCGATAATTACACTAAAAAGCCTTTATGACAGTAGAGGTCATTATCAACAAGATGGACCAAAGCTAGTCTTGGGAATGTCGGCAGTGCTACCCAGGAAAATCTGAGCACACCTCCAATACATGAGCGCATGAGGAATGCTTGGGATTTTTCTGGATAGCATTGCCTAATTTCCCAAGATTTGATTTGATCCCTCTTGTTCATAGCCATCTCTACCACTGCAACGGCTTTACCACACTTTTCAGGAAACGGCTGCATGAGACTAAAAAAACAAAGACAAATCCAGCCTTATACAAAGACTACACACATTCTTTAAAATATCGCAAGTTTGACCTAACGATCCCCATCCAATCAAACTCCAACACCAGGGTTTGTTGGAATCTGTTAGGATGAGTACTGTACTAGTACACTGATTATGCTTTACAGAAACAGAAAACTGTTTATGTGCACATAAAACCTAACTATGTTTCAACTACTTCTCCAAATTTACCATTTTTTGTTCGGTCCAAATTTATTGTGTTGGAATTTGTAAGGATGAGGAAGGTTCCTTTTAAATCAACCTAGGGGTTAGGGTGAACGTGTGACCACAACAAGCAGTAGAATACAAGTTAATAAAATAAAAATCAACAAAATGAAGTTACTACAACAATTCTTTTTTCTGTTATAAATTACATTTGAATTGTGGTCTACCTAGGAAATTAACATATCTTTGGAAAGGATAAATGTAATTTACTGAAATCTGAAAAAGTAGTTAATTTTCTGGGTACTCACTCTAAAAATTACAAGTTTGTTTTTTTTGGTAATCACACTATTTTTTTTAAAGATGTATGTCAATTTGATGTGCAAACAAAGTCATCTTCTTATGAAAAATTCCTCATATTCATTGGTAAAATAATTTTAGGATTTTTTTTTTTACATAGGAATTCATTTTGTCAGTTGTCAGTTTGTCTTATCATACGAAATCACTGATTGGTTGGTTGTCCTTTGGCTTTATTGTACAGAGTCTCTGATTGGTTGGTGTCTAGGGATGGCAGTGTATGGAGTCATTTCATTGGTTCTTGTCCTAGAATGGTGTTATTGTACATGTTCACTGATTGGTTAATCATCATGGGGTTGTCTTTGTACAAAGTCAATCATTGGTCAGTTGTCCAGGGGGATTGCAGTACAAGGTCTCTGATTGGTTGATTCTCCCTAGCTGTTTAGTTGGAGGTCACCGATTGGTTGCTGTCGAGACACTATAGAGTTCTAATCGACCAGTGATCAAGTGGTGTCATACCTCGTAGGGTTCCCCGTGTTCTGTGCTGTGTCAACTGTCTATGTAAGGCCCTTATAAAAAATAGTCTGGTACTGGCTTCTTGGCTGGCATCCCTCTTATCTCCTGTTCAGGGAAACACAGCAAAAAAATTCAGGCTTGTAAATTTTTTTAAAAGTCGTCACAAAACTGACAAAATCGGTTGTTGGAAATTGATGGATATCAACAATCTCAATTGGAGCATCAATGGTAATGATGAGGAAGTACTTGTAACAAAAGCAATCAAATACCAACAAATTCAGCTGAATTATGGGCATCTGTGGCTTTAAGAAGGTCATGCACGGTCTAATACATGTAGTTCTGAACCAAAATGAATCAATACAAACTCAGAAAACAACTGTTTACGTTTGATGAATTTCCACAAAGTCTTAAGCTGGTACCAAACACCACACTGACAATGGTATAATACCTAAGCAAATAGTCCTGAACCCAACAAAAACCAACAAACAAAGGGACAGGCTTTCAATGGCTAAGCCGACTCAAAAAAAAGTGCTGGATCCATCATAATCAAACAAAATCCACAACTTGATTCTGATAATGGTATACTGAACATGCAACAGTCCCGAATCAATCAAAAGCAATATGTACAATCAAGCAATGTGATCAGACTGGTTTCGAGGGTCAGGAACACTTGTTATCAATGGTCAAGATGGTAAAGTGCTATAAGCCATCAGTGCTGGATCCATTATAATCCAACAAAAATCAAATACTCAATTCCGATAATATGGCTTACTGAACATGCAACAGTCCTGAATCAATCAAAAGCAATACAAACTTTAATCTGACTGGTTTCCAGGGTCGCAACAATCAGTGTCAATGGCCGGATCCATCATAACCCAACAAAATCTTGCAAATTGCTTTGATTGGTTTTTAGGGGGCATGTTGGATTTTGATGGAATGCTCACCTGTGGGGCTGCCTCGAATATTGTGAAGTCTCTTTGGAGGTGCTCGTCTAGTTCCAGAATTGCCGCTACGTTGCCGCATCTGAAACAAGTGAGATACCACATGAGCAGGAAAAGAAGCTCATAAATAACATGTTGGCCAAAAACAAAAACAAAATCAACAAAAATACTGAACGCAACTATTTGCTGTACCCGTGCTAAAGGTGTTTCAGATTTTGATCCGACCAACTGATTCCAGCAAGCTCAGTGGTGTATTTAACATTCCCAAATCCTCCAAAATCCTCTTTGCAAAATGGAGGATTTTGCAAGAATGAGGCCTATCTGGCCAAAACGTGTGGCTGATTTTGGAGGATGCACTATGTCAAGGTCTTGGGCCGGACCTGGTGTTGTTTATGCTCAGCCGTGCATACATTTAAGCCTAGATTATACTCGAAATCCTCCGCACTGCTCCAGGATGTCACTGGCTCTGCCTCAACATATTGACACCGATTGCTGGAGAATTTTTCAAGATTGAGGTTGTGGTCACCCCTCCAAGGACCACATTCAAGAAATAAGGGATGATTTTGGAGGATTGAGGCCGTGTGCAATTTCTAAATGGAGGAAGTTTGAGGATTTTGCAGGATTGAGGTTGCATCGGAGCAAAAATGCCTACAGAGTTAGGGTTAAACCAAAAAGGTTGTGTTAGTATTTCATACAGTTCGATGAATAAATATTTGCCCAAAGTATATTTTGTTGTAACGGTCATACTCAGTTCAAGGGGGCCTCACCTATAGCAGTAGTTGGGTGCGGACCACACTGTCAGCACGGTCTCGTTGAAGTGCCACTTGTAGCCCTCGATGACCAGTTGATGCGCCCGGCAGATCATGTCGATGTTGTTGACTGTGTTGAACTGCTGCACCACGTCGCTGCCGAAGAGGTAGCCGGCGCCCCGCGGACTGACCCCCCAGCCTTGGGTATCTGAGTGTGGTCACAGATATGGTCACCAGGGAAGCATGTGAGAGTTCATAATTGTGTTTTTAGACATTAAAGCCAGAGTCCATCATTTGCAGCTATCCAAAAAGTAACTGGCGTAATTACTGTTGAAAAACATACTTGGTTGAAAGATAGTAAGGGGATTAAACTCCCTGCGAAATTATTCTTTCTGGCAAGCTGTCATTTTGAAGAAATCAACAAAAGAAGGCCTTTCCAACAGTGCATCTTAAGAAGCACCGTTGGAAATTTTCGTTAGTAGTTCGTTTTTTTCATTCGGCGAAGCGCGCAGGCGTTGACACGACGCACACGCGCACGTGGTTGCTATAATTCGTCGGATGGGTGTGCCACATCGCGTAGCTGCAATCGGCAGTGAGAACGTGTCTCGGACGCTGAATTCAAGCCCAATTCAAAACATGATTCAGCAACTTTTGATTTGAAATCGAGATCCTAGAATGTTGTTTTTCTCGAAATATACAGCTGAAGCTGAGCTGAAACTTCATCAGGTTAGTTGTTCAGCACCCTTCTTTAGATTTTGAGCACTTTTGTTGCTTCAAACGAACAAAATGCACAAATTACAAATGATGGGCTATACCTTTAAGGAGTACTGTGCTCAATCGTACAGTAACGTAGATTTTAGTTTAAACCGCGTCAGGGGACATGGAATGCTTGTGTCCATGGGCAATACACTTTACCATAATCAATTCTCTTATGGCCCGTTGCATCAAGTGCCAGTGATTGCGATTTGCATGCTTACCCTGCACTTCCATCCTAGGGGACACAGTTGAAAGTGCTTGTGTCCCTTAGCAATACATTTTACCATGAAATACTTCTCTCATTGACCATTGTACACAGTGGTAGCGATTGTGAGTTGCATGCTTACCCTAAACATATACTACAATCCAAGGGGTCACTTTTTGAAGTGCTTGTGTCCCTTAGCAAGACATTTTGCCATAATTTACTTTTATTGTCTGCCGTATACAGTGGTAGTTAATGTGAGCTGCATGCTTACCCTAAACATGCACTACCATCATTGGGTCACAATCAAAAGTGCTTGTGTCCCTTAGCAAGACATTTTACCATAATTTACTTTCCTCGTCGCCTGTTGTATACAGTGGCAGTTATTGGGAGCTGCAGGCTTACCCTAAACATGCACTTCCATCCATCCTCAGATACCTTATTGAAAGTGCTTGTGTCCCTTAGCAAGACATTTTACCGTAACTTACTTCTCTCACTGCCGGTTGTACACAGTGGTAACCGTGAGCTGTATGCTAATCCCAAACCAACAGTACCATCCATGCGGACATTACTTAAAGTGCTTGTGTCGCTTAGCAAGACATTTTACCGTAACTTACTTCTCTCATTGCCTGTTGTATACAGTGGTAACTATGAGCTTCCATGCTAACCCCAAACCAACAGTACATCCACGTGGACATGATTTAAAGTGTTTGTGTCCTTTGGCAAGACGTTTTACCAATATCTCATTGCCTGTTGCATCCAGTGCCAGTGTTTAAACCAAGGCTACCATCCTACCTTCAGGATCTGACCACAAGAGGTCGCACATGGGGCCGTCGTGGGGAACCTCCTGCTTTCTGTCAATCACGCGGATCTGGTCTAACGTGTTGATAGAGGGCGACAGACCACCGTGCACACAAAAGATCTGTCAATGAGGAAACAGCAATTGTGCAAAACTGATTTTTAGGAAAGTCCCCGATCTTTAGAAAAGTCGCTTATTGACGTACATAATATTTATGACATGCCAAAACCTTCACTCTGTAGTAGACTGTCAATTTAAGGGAATATACATCATTTCCTTTTGCTGTAATTTTCAGAAATGGATGGAATTGGGGGATTGGAAATATATAGCAAATATAGTTACACTGACTTTTTTGAGGTTTTGGGTTCGAAAATGCTATAAAAACCAAGAAAAACAATCATTTTCCTGTAGTCTGGTTCCCTGACTCCATTTAAGAAGAAACAGAGCAGTTTACATATATTGGGGAAATTGTAAGGTCAGGGAACCAGTCTAGCTGGCTTGTACATGTTCATAGGTGTGTAATCGATTGCAAACAAGTGCGATTGTCAACTGGGGCCAGTATTTGAAAAAAAAACCCAGTTTTTTCCCCAACGCTGATCAGCCGATCAGCGTTGGAAATTGATGCAAAAATACAATTTTTCTTGAAAATGACAGTACATGTATACCAGGTGCCATGATTTTACAGGATACTTTACACTGTCATTCACTAACAGTCCAGCAAGGTATTTCAAAATGATTTCGTAGTTTTATTTTTTGATGTTTGCAAATGTTGTATTTTCCCTTTAAACTGCAAGATTTGGGGACATCAATTTAGTTTTTGATCATTGAACTCACTTTGCCGTCAATGATAGCGGATAAGCTGAGATAGTCAAAGATCTCCGTGCAGTATCTCCAGACAGTGATGGAGCCATACTTCCTGAGACACTCGTCGTAGAAGCCGTAGACCTGGGTGATCTGTCGACTCTCGTGGTTACCCCGGATCAACGTGATCCTGTCTGGGTACCGTACCTGTGCAGGGAAAACATGTACAAGTAGTGGAGGGCTTAACCCCCTAGGCTCTTGCACTAGAAAGTATACCAAACCTAACAAATTTCAACAGCTGCATACAGGTCTGTAAGCACTGGTACCAAAACTGCCAAACTCCAACAGGCCTTGTACGGGGAACAGTACTAAACCTGCCAAACTCCAACTGTTGGAGTTTGATTGACTTGGTGTGGATGGGCCTATGCATTGTCGAGTGATTGGATAGGGATGGTACCAAACCTAACAAAATAAAGCAATATGTACATGCACATTTGACCACAAACTGTGCTGAGGACCGTGGGTGAGCATACCCACAAAGAAATGCCAGTGAACTCCCTCAAACTCCAACGTGTTCCCAAATCTCATGCCCTTCTGCCCCGAACCTCACAAAATTCAACAGGGTCTCCCTGGGCCTTTGGTACCCCGTCAATCAAAGTCCAACACCAGCTGGCCAGTGTTCGGTACCAACCCTGCCAAAATCAAGCAAAACCCGCTGTTGGAGCTTGATGGGCTCAGGGTTGTTAGGGTTAAGAAATTGTATAGGAAAGCAGTATGGCCTATCACAGTGTGGAGTGTCGTGGCCTTGTGGTCTGGAGCATTGAATTTGTGGTCCGTGGGTAATTCTGCAGGCTGTGGGTTCGAATCCAGCCTGGGGTTATGGGGCGTGTGCCCTTGAGCAAGGCACTTTGTCACTCATTGCTTCTCCCCACCCAGGAGTAAATGGGTACCTGTGAGCGCCGAAATGGCTGCCTACCACATGTATGCTCCACAGGGAGTTGAGAAGGTTTCAGGAGTGTTCGACCATTGAAACAATGAAAATAATAATTGTAAAGCGCTTTAAAACCCTGTTGCGGTGTAAAAACGCAACATAAATGCATACTATTATATTACTAAATGCACAATTAGGGAGACACCTTATCATAATTTCTTTGGTAATAGGGAGACACCGGCTTTTAAAAAGATGCATAACTGTCTCCCTAATGGCACAGCCCCCCTTTAGAGGCAAATTTTACCTTCGCAATTAGATTATATTTGTTGCTCGTGGTCTGATTAGTAAACATACCGAAATTCGTGGAAAAAGGACAAGGGAATATTGGGTTAGGGAACATTGAAGTTTGAAAAATGTTGTGCACAAGTCTATGGGGATGTCTCCAAAATGCCCAATCCAGGGTAATAATTATGATTATACGTGCAATGGTATTATTAAGGAGACACATTATCGTAATTTCTTCACACGATGGGAGACATCGGTCATTAGGGAGACATTTTCATGTCTCCCTAATGTCACAGCCACCCTTTAGAGGCAAAATTTTGCCGACGCAAATTAGACCATATTTGTTGTTGCTCGTGGTCTAATTAGTAAACATACCGAAATTCGTGGAAAAAGGACAGGGGAATATTGGGTTAGGGCACATTGAAGTTTGAAAAATGTTGAGCACAAGTCAATGGGGATGTCTCCCAAATCGTCACCGTTTTCACGAAGAGCCACATATGTCGATTTTGAAGAAAAAGTGTTTTGAGATAATCGCAAAAGAAGTTTCTCATATTTTAAAACTGCCAAAAATACCACTTTGCAACAACTTTGTAATTAATGATGTTTTGCTTACAAAAACATGTCAAAATGGTTAAGTACATTGTTTTAAAGCAAAATATTGAAAAAAAAATCAAAATCGAAAAAACTGTAATTTTGACATATGTGGCTCTTCGTGAAAACGGTGACGAAATGTCCAATCCAAGTAATAATAATTATTATTATTAGAGTCAGAAACAATTAAAAGTACATGTACATGTTATTGATTAGCATCTCTGAAAATAATATCACGTAATTTCCATACGCTATTTGTAACTTAATTCTAATTTGACAGAAATACCACAAAACTCAGCTATCTACCACTAATCATTTACCAATACGCATTGATGGATACCTCTTAAATACAATGAACCATGGAGGTTTTTCTACTTCCGTCAAGGAACGCAAAATTTGCAATTTTTACCTTAAGAGCTAATAAAAGAAGAAATGTTTCCACACTGTAAAAGCCTCTGTCCACAAAGTCCCCCATGAACAGGTAGTTGGTGTCTGGGACATCGCCACCAACCTAATGGGGAAAAAACACAGACACATGTCATGACTCCCAGACATGAAATACACGCTCATAAACTATTAACCCAACCCAACAAATTCAATCTTAATTTAAAGCCAAATGAATATTTCAAAACAGAAAAAAGAGGGAATTGTGGAGTATTGGTTTAGTACAAAGACAATTTGTGTATTGAACATTAACCCTAGCCCCCTAGGCCCTTGTTGCTTACAACCATCCTCAATCCTTTAAAATCCTCCAAAATTGTGCAACTCCGCCTAAATTTTTCAAAATTGTCAGACAGTCCTGCCTCAAAATGCATTCATCCTCAATCCTCCAAAATCCTCCTCATCCCAAAACTTTGCACTCGTGTTTAAATGAAGGATAACCAACACCAAATCCTTCAAAATCATCAGACAGTCCTGCCTCAAAATGCATTCATCCTCAATCCTCCAAAATCCTCATGCTTCATTCACCATTCATCCTCAATCCTCCAAAATCCTCATGTGCTTCAATCACCATTCATCCTCAATCCTCTAGAATCCTCCAAAACCGCCAGGAGGATTTTGGAGGAGTGAGGTGGGTTAGGGTTAATAACATTGTAACAAATTGGTTTACTACTCTAGTAAAAGACAGAACATACCTTAAATAGTTCTTTTAAATCGTAAAATTGGCCGTGAATGTCTCCACATACTGTGACCGGTGAGTCTACCCTTTGAACATTGCTCTCCTCAATCAAAATCTCTCTGAAATTGAGGGAAAAAACAAAGCCTGTTATAGTACAGAGTATTTGATTGGTTATCCTGGGACAGCATTAATGTACAAAGTCCCTGATTGGCTGACCGTTCTTATGTATTATAGTACAGAATCACTCATTGGTTGGTTTTTGAAGGGATGGTTTTATTGTATCTAGTAGCTGATTGGCTGAGCATTCTTAATGCATTGGTAAGATTCATTGGTTGGTTGTCCAGGGATGGTTTTATTACACACAGTCACTGATTGGCTGGCCATCTTTGGGTATTATTGTACAGAACCACTCATTGGTCAGTCTTGCAGGGATGGTTTTACTGTGCCAAGCTACTGATTGGCTGATCATTCTGAGAAGCTTTTGTTCAGAATAATCCATTGGTTGGTTGTCCTGTGATGGTTTTTGTACAGTATCACTGATTGGCTGATCAGCCTTAGGTATTGATATACAGCCTTTCATTGATTGGATGGTTTTATCACACCAAGCTACTGATTGGCTGATCATTCCAAGAAGCTTTTGTACAGAATCATCCATTGGTTGGTTGTCCTGTGATGGGGTTTTTGTACAGCATCACTGATTGGCTGATCAGCCTTGGTACATAGTTATCCATTGGTTGGAAGTGTTAATACATCGACATATTTGACAAACAAATAAACTAAAATGCTCCTTCCAATTGTTTCAATAAGTCCACATAGTCCTTTTGAATGATTGCTCCCCCCCCCCAACATTTTTCTCAATTTTTAATCGTTAGTTCCTTGGTTTACAGGCCTCATTCTTCAGATCGACATGTATTTACCAGGGGTGTGAGTGACCGCTGATAAAAAATAGCTGAAAACAGCTGAAAAAGGTGTAAAAACAGCTGAACTTTGGAAATCTCCTATACTTTTGTTAGTTTTCTACACAGCAAGTGAAGGAAAAAAAGCTGAAATCCAAAACAAAAAAAGCTGAAATCAGCTTTAAAGCTGAGATTTCACACCCCTGATTTACCTCGCTTTGGCACATAGTGCTTTGACCTCGCTCTCTTTGATTATTTCACATCTTCTGAGCTGCTCTATTTGTCTGTCATAAACAAAACAAAGATACAGAGAGGTAAGCTTGATTGTAAAAATCTTTATTCTCACGAAAATGCTGAAATGATAGTGGCCAAGGCAGATTCTTCAAGTAGGGCTGTTCATTTTCAAATAATTTAGTATTTGATTACTCAAAACTGTGTTTGACCGAATACTCGGATATTCGCAACTGCCAGCTGAAGCTAGAATGCGTGCTGTGCCGGTGTAGCGTGAATTTAGGTTCCTATAAAATACGGAATCATTAATAGTATTGCACATGCCTACCGGTATAAGAAGAGAATATAATTAGGAGGTGACTGGTCACATGAGAGGGTTCAACCAATAGAAGGGTAAAGGAGTCCGATTTTGATAGGAGTCCGATTTTCAAATGACACCGGTCAAAAGTTGCAAGCAGAGCGCGCCACTTAAAATTGGTGCATTTCATAACTTGTTTATAAATATAATTAACCCGAACTCCTTAAGTCTTTTTGCTAGGATGTAGCCTCAATCCTGCAAAATCCTCTAATTGGCCTCATGGGAAAAATAGCATATAGCCTCAATCCTGCAACTTCCTCCATTATTTCTTGAATATGATCCGTGGAGGGGTGACCACTGCCTGAATCCTGCAAAATCCTGCGGCAGTGACTGTAAATATGTTGAGGCTTGGCCAGTGACATTCTGGAGCAGTACGGAGGATTTCAAGCATAATCCAGGCCTATATTTATGCACGGCTGAGCAAAAACAACACAAGGTCCGGCCCAAGACCTTGACAAAGTGCATCCAACGAAATCAGTAACACACTTTTGCCATGTAACCTCAATCCTCCAAATTCCTCCACTTTGGCAAAGAGGATTTTGAAGGATTCAGGGCCGTTAGGGTTTATAACTGTCAAGGGTTTTAACCTGCTAAAAGGATGGAACCAATGAAAACAGTTACTGTCAACAGTGCTGTAGACAAAATCGTGTATTGTGATCAAAAGATTGAGCATGGTTTTTCACTGTTTTTTGGACAAGTGTAATATCCCTTAACGGGTTGGGTTTTGAACTTTCTTCTTTGGATTTTGCGTGACTATTATTATTGGAAATGAACAAAATGCATGAAAAGCAAATGATCTTAACCCTAACCGCCCTGAATCCTTCAAAATCCTCTTTGCCAAAGTGGAAGGAATTTGGAGGATTGAGGTTACATGGCAAAAGTGCGTTACTGATTTCGTACGATGCACTTTGTCAAGGTCTTGGGCCGGACCTTGTGTTGTTTTTGCTCAGCCATGCATAAATATAGGCCTGGATTATGCTTGAAATCCTCCGTACTGCTCCAGGATGTCACTGGCCAAGCCTCAACATATTGACAGTCACTGCCGCAGGATTTTGCAGGATTCAGGCAGTTGTCACCCCTCCACGGACCATATTCAAGAAATAATGGAGGAATTTGCAGGATTGAGGCTATGCTATTTTTCTCTAAGGCCAATTGGAGGATTTTGCAGGATTGAGGCTACATCCTAGCAAAAAGGCCTAGGGAGTTAGGGTTAAACGCCTTTCATTGGCATCACAAGAGGGCCTCCTTTACAAGTAACGAACTAAAAATTGAAGCCATTTCCACTTACCTATCTAAATCACTACAGTCCCCCATATTTACAGCCTGTTTGTGGTTCTGAAAGGAAACGAAAATGTAAAGCCAAATATCATAACAATTTACTTCATGACAAGCACTGAAATGTTGATTTCAAGTGTGCACGATATGTTAAAATTTGGAAACCTTAAGTTTAACGAAAAAAAATTACAACAAAAATATGCATTGCGGACGGGTAATATTGTTGATGTACCCTAACGTTGCGCTGCCCCTAGCGTGGCGCACTTTGATTTTTCACCGGTAGCGAAAAGCTAGAGCAAAAGTTTAAACTGAAGAAATTTCATCCAATTCTGAACACTTCCGTTCATAAATCACGAGTTTATCTACCCATTAGATTACAAAGTTAGAAGAAAAGTTTATTTTGACATAATTTTCCTATTTCATTTTGATGTGCAGAATGAACCCTTTGAAAATTTCCCAAAAATATTCGAAAATAATTTCTGACTAACTTGTAGTTGGGCATGTAAGTAGAGATAATAACGGTTCATCAGAATTGATCAACTTTACAGAAATTCTGAAATGTTAATTTGGAATTTTCCAAGCTTTATTCAAGTGCGCCATGTTGGGGAACGCTCAGCCGATTTGTGTCCAATTTCCGGACGCCACCGTTTTTAAATACTCACAGAGGTTAAATAGGCCTAGGAAACGTTAATAAGGTAAAAGTACCTAGCTGGAGTTACCCAGCCCTGAGTTTTATCATTGGGTTGTCATCTAGGGCTGGAGCTATTTTTTCTCGTAAACGATAGTATAGGCAAAAAATTTTGGAAAATGTTCAATTTTGTCCCCGTTACACACTAATTGCAACTGCAACTCAACCCAAACTTGCCTGGAATAACCATTACACAGGTCCTTGAAGTAAAAAACGATCCACGATGAAGATTCAGCCTACTATTGCAGTGAAAACAGGAGGAATAACCGCTAACTTGACAACCTTTCAGGCATGGCCAGGACCGCAATTGGTTTGTGCACAAAAAAAAAAATGTGTACAATGAATGGCGGTCGATTAACAGGCACAGAGAGCGATCGCTGTTAACTACTCGTTTTTGCCGGCTGCGCTGGCTGTTGGCGCATGATGTCACGCGGAAGCGTAACACCCGATGACTGTTTCATGCACTATTGGTTGCGGTTCCAGTACCAAAGCAGTGATGCGAGTGGTAAACCTCATATTAGTGCATGAAACAGTCATCGGGTGTTACGCTTCCGCGTGACGTCATGCGCCAACAGCCAGCGCAGCCGGCAAAAACGAGTAGTTGACGGCGATCGCTCTCTGTGCCTGTTAATCGACCGCCATTCATTGTACACAATTTTTGTGTGTGCACAAACCAATTGCGGTCCTGGCCATGCCTGAAAGGTTGTCAGGTTAGCGGTTATTCCTCCTGTTTTCACTGCAATTGTAGGCTGAATATTCATCGTGGATCGTTTTTTACTTCAAGGACCTGTGTAATGGTTATTCCAGGCAAGTTTGGGGTGAGTTGCAGTTGCAATTAGTGTGTAACGGGGACAAAATTGAACATTTTCCAAATTTTTTTGCCTATACATGTACTATCGTTTACGAGAAAAACTAGCTCCAGCCCTAGATGACAACCCAATGATAAAACTCAGGGCTGGGTAACTCCAGCTAAAAAGTACCAGTATTTCACTTAATGAACTTGAAGTTTGTCAACAAAGAAGTTTGGCAACACTGATGTGGAAAGTCGGGGTAAATGTTGTAAAAGTGCGCAACGTTAGGGAACACCACTACACAGCTTTTATACAAGTTATAGGGACCATGGTATGGGAATATTGGGGACAGGTGCGGCGGAATTATGTTAGATGTAAAAATGTTTCTTTCAATTCAAGTTTCACTGGGAAATATTTCAGTTTTTTTTCTACAAAACCACATCAAAACAAATGGTAATCCTTATCTTTAGGACACCTCTATTTTTACGAGTTCTGTTCAAAACTGACTTTTGCAGGTGACTGTCCAGTACCTGTCCAGTGACTTTTGCAGGCTAAAGCAGTCTTTTTTCCTCAGATAAACTCATGTTAGTTGTTATTTTCATTTTTTGAAAGCACTTTCAAAGAAAATGTGACTTTTCTGCCTTTTTTTGCAGTTGCCATCTTGCTTTTTAAATATATCTTCTGTTTGTCATCGTCGTCTTTAACCCCTCATAAATCAAAGCCCTGCCCTCTTTTTACAAAATTAAACCTGCTGATATTAAAGAAGGTGTCATTGCCAACTGTTCAAATGTGTCAAGAAACATCAGAATGTCACTTTTGAGTGTCATTTAGTCAGCTGTTTTGGTGAGTCTTTTAACCTTATAGGAACGGGGTCCTAAAAGTAAGGATTACCAAACAAATGTTGAAATTATATTTGACAAATGTATTAGCTTTCCTAGCATAGACGATTTGTCCTTGTCACAAGTTTAACCAGTTGACCGGTGTGGACGGTAATTCTGTCCCCCGGTAAAAGTGTCCGGGGGGACAGAATTACCTAGGTAAAAGTGTCCCCCCTGTCCCGTTAATTCTGTCCCCCTCCAGGTAATTCTGTCCCCTCCAGTTAATTCTGTCCCCCCTGGTTTTGCACGCATAAGTTGTTATATTGATGAATTCAGCGCACAGGGTATACATTTTTAGATTTTTCAACCCTTCATCAATGATTAGCAAAATGAAATTAACGTTTAGATGCTATTGACGCTCCTGATATTGACGAAGAATTGGCAAAATTATATGCGACGTGACACGGGTCACCGCGCCGCACTAGGCCTGCTGCTGGTGCCCTGTTCCCGTCCCTGGCCGCGGCCCTGGCGCCCTCCGTAGGCGCGGTACACTCGCGCGCACGCCCACCATGCAAATCGCTCGCTCCCGAAGTCGTCATCAAAACGGGAGTTGTGCTTTGACGTAAGCACCATTCCCGAATTTAGCAAGGCGCCGCGCAACAACAGTTAATAACTTTACTAATATACAGTCTGGGTGCTAGACTTGTGACGTTGCACGGGGACACATTTACCAGGGAGGGACACATTTAACGTCGTGCAGGGGGACAGATTTACCTAGAGGGGGACAGGTTTACCTAGGTAAAAGTGTCCCCCCGGACAGATTTACTGGGTCACGACCCGGTAAATCTGTCCGGGGGGGGGGGGGGGGACACATTTACCAGGGGGGACAGAATTACCTGCCACACCGGCACTCGGCCCTATCCCAGCAGAATATGCAAGCCATATCGTGCACGTATAGTGCACGTACACGTACACCAACGTAATGGCATGACGTGCGCGCACAAATTCAGTTGTTCAATCGTGGCACGATTTCGAGAAGGTATTTCGTAAAGTTTAAAATCGAGTCAAACACACAAGAATACACAGTAATGTCTTTAAGTAATTATTAAAGCAGTATATATTGTTTATGACCACAAAAAAGTGAATATACACTCCACAATTAACACCGAAAATTGAAAGCACTTACGTTTTTTTCGTAACCCCTGGGTCGACCACGGTGTGAATCAAATGGTGGCGCCCTTTCGTTTTGTGACGCATTGAAATATTTTTGGACTTATCATTATTATCGTGTAGTTCGATGAAACAACTTACGAAGTTTTTTTAAGTTCAGAAAATTATATAAAAGATATGCAATGGATTGATGACATATATAAGTCTATTGTTATCATAACGAGAACAAAAAGACCCCCATTTGTAACGAAACAAACGGAGATCTTAGTACACCCGTTTGACATGAACTACTTGAGATAAAAAATAGTGTGCCGAGTTATGCAGCCGCCCTGCGCAGACGTGAATAAATTAAATAGGCCTAATGAAATTAATATTAATATACATCAAGGAATGAATGAAGAATAGTGCGAAAATATGACAAATTACACTGGAAAGAATCAGACAACTTAAAATTTCCTGTTTTTTCAGTTTATTTTATCAAAGTACTTTGATTATTGATAATTTAATTTGACCCGGCCCCCCCCCCAAAAAAAAATTGGATCGTAATTTTTCTTCCAAAAAATTGAAAATCTGATTCGGCATGACTGAATTTTTTTAAATGAGGACTTTTTCAAATGCAAGACTAAATCCATATAAAAGGGGTGTGTCATTTATTATTTTATTTTTGAGCATAAGATAACAGCTACATGTATAGTGCCTATAACATTAAAATGACATAATAAATTGAAAATACACAAAAATGTATGAGTTTTACTAAGTACTGAACGCTGACATTTATATTATTGAATTCCAAAAATTAACTGAAAATTGTCACTATAAATGTCCAGACAAAATGGAAATATCTTTGTTGCCTTTTCAGCAATGGGGCAAATGATTTATTTGTAAGTTTTAACAGACAAACTGAACAGCTTCATATTGAGTACAGCCATATTCTTTTCAACACTTCTGCTTTTATGCTTAACATTTTTTTGGTCTGTGTACGAGAGGCAGTGCTTGAGATACATAAACAGTTTTGTAAACCCCGCCCACAGATCATCTTGATTGGCCAAGAGCAAGTCACATGGGTGGAAACAAAATAAAACCAAAACTGAATTAAATAATTTCACATACGAGGCTTTGTAAATAATGTCAATAAACAACCATTGCTTTTATGTAAGGCCAAAAAAAATTTAAAATACTCGGTCTCTGGTCAGCGCGCGCGTCGATTTTAGTCATGCGCGTCAACCTTTTTTTTCTTCAAATTAACACGGAAGCTACAACAGCGCCCTCTCTTGCCGCGCCTCCTCAAATTTTTGTACCACTACTGAGCATCAAGGAATGGGGAAATTGTACCAAGGCAAATGGTAAAGGGCACCAAGGCAAATTGTGGAGGACACCAATGTATAATGAGGACACAAAAAAGCAAAATAGTACCACCTTGTCTGTACAATACAAGCTTAAAAAAGCCACCCCCCAAAAAAGAGAAGAAAACCGCGTCGCCGCATCAATTCCGGAACCTCGGTCTGACCAGAGACCGACTATTTTGAAAAGCAGAACTTCTGTACATGCGAAATATAAAGATGGATATATTTACAAAATATAGGTATAATATATTATTATTAATCTTTCACTAATTCATCATAGATTGACCAAAAAAAAAAATATTTGGTCTCTGGTCAGACCAAAGTTCCGGAATTGACGCGACCACGCGGCTTTTTTTTTTTTTTTTTGCTTTTTTTTTTTTTCTTCTAGCTTGGATTGTACAGACAAGGTGGGGTACTATTTTGCTTTTTTGGTGTCCTCATGTACATTGGTGTCCTCCATAATTTGCCTTGGTGCTTTCGATCATTTGCCTTGGTGCAATTTCCCATTCCTTGGTGCTCTTTGGTAAAAAAAAATTGAGGAGGTGCGGCAATAGAGGGCGCTGTTGGAGCTACCGCGGAACATTTTGAAAAAAAAAAAAGATTGACGCGCATGTTTAAAATCGACGCGTGCGCTGACCAGAGACCGACTTATATTTTTTTGGCCTAATATATTATTATTAATCTTTCAGTAATTCATAATAAACAACGCCTGACTAAATCTCCGTCATCTGATTGGCGGGTCGTTGATCACATGTCATTGAATTATTCGTCGCAAAGCAGTACGGCGCGAACCACATGTCAAAAATAGAAGTTCTATTCCATTGCATGGTCACATGATTGATGACTCTGACCAATCAGATGACGAGGATTTATTCAGGTGTTGTATAAAACAAACAATGATTGCTTCACATTTGTGCAATGGTAAGAATAATTTCATTAGATGGCAGCAGATGGAATGTTCCATTCGCCTTGTGGAATGGAACATTCCATCTGTCACCTCATGAAATTATTCTTACCATTGCACTCATGAACATTCATTATTTGTCTATTAATATTTCCCTTATTAAATGACTGCTCAGTGGTGGCTAAGAAACAAATTCTAACTTTTAGAACAAAAATGTGCAAAGTTTACTCTTTTTATGAGCTGTAGCAATAACGGTTATTTATAAGCTCAATTAAAAAAAAAATACATTTTTTCAAATCCTTTAAACTCTCTATTAACCATTACCTTTGGAATTTCGAAATTAATAAAATTCTAATAATAAATCTCAAAGCAAATAGAACTGAAATTCAATAATCTGAGTTGGTGCACTGAGTATAACTAGAAAACACAAAAACAAAAAGTTGATAAATGTTTTTGCAAAATGTACATAACAAAAGACAAACCCTGGACGGAAACATATAAAGTGAATTGTGTTCCAACACTCCTCAAAATGTCATTTGTTGATCATGTGACATTCGTGCAAGGCAGAGTTGTAATGACATGAGTCAATGACTCGACTCAAGTCCGACTTGAGTCACAATTTTTGGTGACTCGACTCGACTCGAGTTCTTAAGGGTAAATGACTCGACTTGACTTGAGTCAATGCGAGCAAATGACTCGACTCGACTGGAGTCTCTAATCAGAAGACTCGACTCGACTCGAGCGAAGGCTAATAAGACTCCAGTCCCAAAAATAAAAGCACAACTTTGCGAAAAGTATTTGCGATGACTTATGGTGCAAAGTTTATGCTCACTTCGCTTTGCGAATTAGTGTATGAATATACGTGTCAGACTCCCACCACATGGTTCTAGAACGCACAAAATACTATCCAGGAACCAGATTTTTCACATTTTCTAATTCGCTGTTTCATCATTGGCTTTAGGCGATTTCTTATAAAGCTCCCAGATTCGAATGCTGGCTAAATTTATGGCCTCCTTTTATAAATGTTGGTATTTAGTGTTCAAATATTCGCGACTCGAATTGATTCAAGCTAAATATTTGACTCGACTCGACTCGACCTTTGGACCTAATGATTCGAATCGACTTGAGTCACTTCTTTAAATGACTCGACTCGACTCGAGTCACTTTTATCAGCGACTCGTTACAACTCTGGTGCAAGGTAGTCACATGACCAACAAATCCAGCATTCAAAAGCTATTTTTTTGACGTTTGTATGGCAGCTTATTTCAGCAAGTAAGCACATACCCTGAGTTAGAGCTGTGCAACGGAACCAGGGAACCAGGTAACCAAACATTGGTTCCAGATTATGGGATCGGGTACCCGTAACCAACTTTAGTAATAACTTAGAGTAACTTCTCAGACAATGAAAAAAGAAAGGTTTGGAATGTCATTTGTGGGGAATTTTCAAACTAAAAACCAGGCTACATGGGAAATCAAAACACATTCACGTTTATGGCGCTTGCCAAAGTTTGCTGGGCCCAATTTCTTGGCCCTGCTTACAGTCAGTGAAAAATCCCTGCTTACTTTAGCAGAAAATTCTGTATGGTAAGCCTATTTCGCGCATTAGCGAGGAGTTTAGGCTTCTGCGCATGCATACATCCCTTAACTAAGGATTCCGTGCTTGCAGGGTAAGCGCAGAAGTTTTCTGCTAGCGCTGTTAGCATAACACGGTGATCGCAAGCGCAGAATTCTGTGGTTAACAGAGCCATGTAATTGGGTCCAGTTTACATCGTCAAGCTATTAAAGATATAGTCCATCATTTGTAATTAGTGCATTTAGTTCGTTTGAAGCAACAAAAGTGTTCAAAATCTAATGAAGGATACTGAACACATAAACCTGATGAAGTTTCAGCTAAGCTTCAGCTGTATATTCCGAGAAAAACAGCATTCTATAGGATCTCAATTTCAAATCAAAAGTTACTGAATCATGTTTTGAATTGTTTTGGATTGCAGCTATACGCGACGTCGCGCACTGATCCGACGAATTATAGCAACCGCGCGTGCGTCATGTCAATGCTTGCATGCGCTTCGCCGAATAACAAAACCAACTACTAATTAAAATTTTCCTACGGTGCGTCTTAAGATGCACCATTGGAAAGGCCTTCTTTGGTTGATTTCTTCAAAATGACAGCTTCCCAGAAAGAATAATTTCACAGGGAGTTTAGTCCCCTTACTATCTTTCAACCAAGTTTGTTTTTCAACAATAATTACGCCAGTTACTTTTCGGATGGCTGCAAATGATGGACTCCAGCTTTAATAAAGCTCACTGTACACACTTGTATCTTGCTGTATTGATGAACCGATGTGGTAGTATTATCCCGTGGACGTTTATGACTAATCTAGACAGCAACTTCCCAGATTTGAATTTTTGGGTTGGGTTTCTTTAACGGTTACCCGAGTACCCGTGTTTTTTTTTCAAACGGGTACCCGGTTCGTGTAGTACCCGTAAATGCACGTCCCTACCCTGAATTCCACTAAACCTGTCTGCATACAATGCGAATTATGCTGGATCCAGAAGTTTAAACATTGATTATGGCCTGTTAATGGTAAAATAAAAAGGGGAATTATCATCAATAATGATTTTTCTTTATTAGCAAGCGCACATATCCATTATTGTGGCACTACATCATAATTGCAGTGGGGAAATGATTGTTTGTCCACTCATGTTTGTAAATTGTTTTTTTGTTTGTACTGGCATGGCAATATAAGCCTTCGGCTTCCCCGCGTGCCACCATATTGCTGTTTTTATAATTTATTATTTGTTAATGAGTCGTAGTTTTTGTGGATTGTTACATTATTTGTTGGTTATATAAATATTATTTGTTCCTTACTCAATTTCTCATTAATGTTATTTTTAAATAGACTCATTGTGCATTTTGTGTCAGCAATATTGAAATAAATGTTTGTATGAATGAATGAAATGAAACACTCCAAAGACCATCTCAGCTCTGTGGAGAGTATACAGCATGAAGCTGCCATTTCGGCACGAAGCTGATAAAAATCAATCACAATAACCATCTCTGCCTTCACAGGTACCCAATTTATTACTGGGTGGGGAGAAGCAATGAGCGACAAAGTGCCTTGCCCAAGGGCGCACGCACCATAACCCCAGGCTGGACTCGAACCCACAGCCTGCAGAATTGCCCACAGACGAGGAGTTCAATGCCCAGACAATGAAGCGAAGGCAGTCCACATGGGCTTTGCACAAGAAAAAATGCAAAGATTTGAGAAGATATTTCATTCAAAAACATCTACCTTGATTTCAGATGTCTACATACATGTAGTAGCTTTGAGAAAAAACACTATTGGCAACTTTTGGACAGATAAGTCTTTTGTCTTGTCTGTCTCGTCCGTGTGTTGTTATCATGTTGTTTTTCTGTTGTTATTGTTGTCTGTAAGGGCTGTTTCCTACAAGCCTCGGCTTACTTAAACAGCCCCATACTCCTTAGTTTCTTTTGTACATAAATCGAAATAAGTTTAACATTTCTTCATAGCGTATCTTACTGGTATTAATTTTCTTTTTTTTGAGACATATTTATTGATTTTGTTATCTTGTTATTTACCAGATTTCTTTTTTACTGATGGATGTATTCTCTAAAGGAGTATGGAAAAAATGTTTTCTTGAATTGAATTAAATATATTAAATTGAACAAGGACATTGACAAATGGGGAACCGCAAACATAGGGCTGGATAGCTCAGTTGGTAGAGCACCGGAACGGCAATCCAGAGGTCGCAGGTTCAAACCCCGCTCCAGTCAATGTCTCTGTTCAACTTTACAACTATATATTAAACTGTATAGGAAATCACTTTTTGATATATCACAAGTGACTTTTTGTGGACATGATTCTTAAGTAGCAAATTTTGAATTTTGTTTTTTTCCAACCCTGTACAAGTTTCCTTACGATTTTTAAAAATATTTTGAAGTCTTCTTGATATGCTAATTAACAAACAAAAACAAATAAACAAACAACATTCTAAGAGTACATGTTTTTAACACAAGCATTTTCAAATAACCGCAAAAATGCAAAAAAATAGAGAGTTTAAGAGAGCTGTTTTATGTTTAATTTTCCAACTGATTAATAAAAAAAATTCAAACTCTCTGTGCATGACCAGCAGAGGGCGCCAGACACAAGTACTGTTTATAAGTCATTTCATCACAAGTTGTTTTTGGTTCACTGTGTCCATTCCAAGAACACACTTAAGGATTTCCCCAGACAAAAGTGGCGCACTTTAAACACGAGGGTGAAGACGTACCTTTTAGAAAATATCTACATTAAATTTTAGAGGAAAAAAAAAAAAATTGCGTCAGTGAGAACTGTTCCTTGTGAACATTGTTTCGTCGTCGCTGGCAGAATCTAGGAAATCGTGGTACTCGACGTTGTTTAAGAGGGGCCGTTTGGATGTAGAGTTGAACCCTTTAAGCGCGATGCGATCATTGTATTCTTCTTGGTACATCTTCTCGCCGTCGAGACGGTAAAAGCCCTGCTTGCGACGGCCCGTGGTCGAGGAGCGACAGACGTAAACGAGACAGACGGTTGTGAGGATGAGCAACATCACGCCGACAACTGTGTGAAACACGGGAGTACAAAAAAATACTGAAAGTAAAACTTGCCCAACCCCCCTGGCATCCTGCCAGTTTGTATACATGTACATGAAGGACATTTTTCAGTGACAGCCTTTGATTGTCCACCCGGCAGGTACCAGTTCTCAGTTGAATGGGGAGTTTGGGTTGAATGGAGAGTTTCCATGAGACACCAGACTAACATATGTTAGACTTATTAGTATCTCTCCAGAGACCTCGTAATTATCTATATTGGAAAGGATTGTTTTGACATCGGCCTTCTCTCCACAAACCACTTTTCAAGTTTGGCACTGCACCTATGGTCTGGATTTGGGGCTTCCAATTCTGAGCATTTAGGATGCAATTGGGTCCGAAAGTGGCACTATTTAGCCATGTTGTGGAAGGATCCTTTTTCAAAATGGCTACTTTTCCAGTTTGGGAAATAACATTCGTTTTAGGGGTGGTCTTCTTCGAGAGAGAATATCTCAAAAAGTCATTGGTCAACCCACCACAAATTGAATGGAAAATGAAAGATGACATGTTGATCATTATTTTTCTGCACAGCCTGAACACCCGGGAGAGTTTTGAGTGTTTCTAAAAGAATTTTGAAGTTTGGCGATGTATCACTGTTTATGGGAATTTAATTTCAAGTAAACTTGAATCCTTGTTCCTGATTGGTCGATCCATGGCAACAAGCCGTGCTACAGATAACCATGTAGCACGGCCACGGTCCATACGGCACTTCGCGTATTTCACTTTTCTAAGATGCGCGCGCCATTCCGTACAACATGCACGTGTAATAGGAAAACCACATAACCGCTGAAAAGATCGTGTACAGCGTGCGTGTTCCATTTTTACTGTGCGTCAAGTTTGCTTGAAGATAAATTCGTTATCGCGCTCGCGGAACACGGAATAATGTAGTGCGTCTGTGTCCCGCATACCACTCGGCCTGTGGGACACAAGACGCACTACATTATTCCGTGTTCCACGAGCGCTCGCGGGATAACTTATATTATTTGCTTGGGTGCATCCTTATCAAGAGCAGTTCACTTGAGAAAGCAGTTTACCCCTACCTGTGACCCCAATAAACATTATCGGCGGCAGGCCTAGTATCTCCTTAGTCTCCTCCATCTCAAAGTCGACGAGTACCGCCTCGAAATCCACATCCCCCACAGTGCATTTCCGGGTCTGGGTCCCGGACCCCTCGGCCTCTGCCATCAGCGTGTACGTCCCAGGTAGTAGGAGGAGATGGAAGTCGCCCTCTGGTGACGATTCGGCACGGTGGCCGCGACCCTCGACGGTGATTTTGGCGCCGACGATCGGCTGGCCTCGTATGTCCCGGACGAAGCCTTTGATGCCATGGTGGGCCTTTTGGAATCAAGATGTGATAAAATAGTTTGCAAATATAACATGGTTTAAGGGTGGATAGTCGATATTAGCTTTCTGAGGTACTAACTAGTTTGACAAAATAGTTCCTTCGGCAGAACTAGCTGCATTTGGCATTTGCCGCAATATTATTAATTGGATATTATTGGATTAGAGTGGATTTAGGAGAGTCGGGTTTAAAGTCCCATTCAAATGTACAGAGAGTTAATCCCTACTTGTTGGATAATCTCAATGAGTGGTTTGCGGTGCTCATTCCATAACTTCTGTAGTACTGGCTGCATTTGGCATATGCAACAACCAATGTATTGGATTAGGGTGGATTTAGGAGAATTGGGATTAAAGTCCCATTGAAACGTATGGAGAGTTAATCCCTGCCTGTTGGATCATCTCAATCAGTGGTTTGCGGTGCTCATCCCATAACTGTTGCAGTACTGGCTGCATTTTTCATTTGCAGCAACTGGAGTATTGGATTAGGGTGGATTAAGGAGAATGGGGATTAAAGTCCCATTGAAACATATGGACACTTAATCCCTACCTGTTGGATCATCTCAATGAGTGGTTTGCGGTGGTCGTCCCATAACCGCTGTAGTACTGGTTGGGTTGGGTATCTGCAGCAGCCGGTGGCAACCGCAATCTCCAGACACTTTATGAAGTCGTAATTATAATCCTGCAAAAATATCAAAACTAGTAAGAAAAAACCTCACTTTCCATCTTTTTGATTATGTGAACTCAGAAAATAATAATTAAATTGTGCAAAAGATGCAAATTGTTATGCCTACTTTAACTCTTGCACAGCCATGTAATGAATACATACATATTGAGTGCTAACATTTTAGGGTGAAAATCATTGATTTTAAGTATATTTGTGAAAATCTCGATCACGGAAATGGTGGTCACACATCATACTTCGAGGTGCAACTTAAATTTGATTCGCCGTAGCGCTGTATTCAAACTTATGCATGAGGCATGCCCAGAATTTACTGGGTAGCACTGCCAAAGTTCCAAAGACTGAAATTGATTTACCTTGTTGACAGTGACCTCTACCACCACAGAGGCCTTTGACAAGGCAGTGGTACTACGTGGCCACCCATGAGAACCATTGTACTTGTGGAGTCATTTCTTTGTTCTCGTGTACAAGTTTTTGAGTTTGAAGGTGTACTTTCAAAATGCTCCTATTTTAACCACAATTAATTTCCTGGACTGAAATTTGGACTTTATAAAATACTTCAATTCGCGTCGGATCAACACACTTTGGAAATTCCTAGTTTTTGAGTAAAATCCATAAATCTATTTCGTCATAACCTTGTGGAGACGTATTCACCTATAGATATTGCTCTGTGGAGACATATACAATATTTTGTTCCCTACTATGCACATGTCTCCACAGGGTACCGTGTACCAGATCTCCTTGACAGGAACACATTGCTTGCACATAATGGTTCACCGTGCATGTGAATTTTCGAACAATTTTTTCATTCGATTATTCTAACTTGGACTTGATCCAATATTCGTATATTTAAAATGCGCCAGCCTGAAGTGGCCCACGATTGGAATTTGCATGCACCTGCATTTGTTGGATGAGAAAGAGCTTATGAAAATCATTGTGTGCCCAGCAGAAGGGCATATGCGCATATGCCCTTATGCAATAGCACGTAATTACCAAAATGTTCCCAGCAATAGAGCATATGCCGAAAACTGCCTCTTATTTTAATGAAATTTATAATCAGAAATGAAATTTCTGAAATTTTCATCAGAAATTAATACAGGTTGTTCCAAAACTCATGATTGACACGTGTCACAAATTTCAAAATCGTACGATTTATAATATGCGTGGGAGAACATTGGATTCATAATACGCGTGGGGGAACAATAGCACCTTTTAATGCAATTGTCTTGAAAATGATTTTCGCGTCAGAACGCTCGTATGCCCTTCACTGGGCACCTGACGAAATACAAAGAACATTGTCTATGTACGGATACAATTTTTCTGGAGGTAGCGAAGTGACTGATGTTCCACAGATTTTAAAAAATAAGACTGAGCTAATATTCATTTGGCCAAAAAAAAAAGTCTCCGGTTTCTGGTATGGAGCTTGCCCAAAAAGTGGTGCGGCGACGCGGCTTTTTTTTTTTTTACCTGATATTTTTGCTTCAAATGTCGGCTGATGACTGCAAATGGTGCCCGACTAAACTTAGTGCAAATATATGGGAGTCCAGAGAGGCCACATCAAGCTTATTCTCGACCATAACCCAATCTAAAAACACGTTAAAATTGTGCAGCAGCAGGATTCCAGTCAAACCAGTGAGTTTGGCGGTTTTGAGACATCATCTTTCATTGATAAAAAACTTTTTCATTTTGCCGACGCGCATGGCTACAGCGACGCGCGCGCATACCGGAAACTTTTTTTTTTGGGCCTAATATTGATTAAGTAGGTACAATTGCTTTAAATCTGAATGTGCAGGAACCTACAGCAGTGACAATGCGTTCAAGTCCCTCCTAGCTCTCTCTTTGTGACCAAACGAGGGGGTGCTTGTGCACGGAGTCTACAGCAGACACTCACCTGCATGCTACCATCGTAGTTTTCCCATGCGGCTCCATTCACGATGCCGTCCTGAAACCCTGTAGCTATGAACCGAAAAAAAGGGAGAAAAAAAAGAAGGAAAGTTAATTTCAGCTTATCTTTAATAACAATATAAATAAATATTTTGGTGGGCACGTGTGGTCTAGCGGTGGAGCACAGGATTCATGATCGTGAGGTTGTGGGTTCGAGCCCCACCGTGGCCATGCGTGTTGTGCCCTTGAGTAAGGCGCTTTACCTCAATTACTCCTCTCAACCCAGGTGTTAAATGGGTACCGGCATTATTCAATGCTGGGAAGGTAACAGACTCGCTGTGGAGGAGGTGTGGCGATCCCCCCACAGCAGCATATGAGTCTGGCCCAATCGCTAACGAAAGAGAGATGGGCACTCCGTTCCTGTTAACACAGGGTCGCCCCCTTTAGGCCAACAAAAAAAAGTCTCCGGTTTCTGGTATGGAGCTTGCCCAAAAAGTGGTGCGGCGACGCGGCTTTTTTTTTTTTTTTTTAACCTGTTTTTTTTTGCTTCAAATGTCGGCTGATGACTGCAAATGGTGCCCGGCTAAACTTAGTGCAAATATTATGGGAGACCAGAGAGGCCACATAAAGCTTATTCTCGATCATAACCCCATCTAAAAACACGTTAAAATCGTGCAGCAGCAGGATTCCAGTCAAACCAGTGAGTTTGACTGTTTTGAGACATCATCTTTCATTGAAAAAAAAAACTTTTTCATTTTGTTGACGCGCATGGCTACGGCGATGCGCGCGCATACCAGAACCCGGAGACTTTTTTTTTTTGGCCTTACTTACTTAACAATATAAACAAAATGATTCTGCTTGATTTTCGCAGAATTCTGCTGCTGAAATGCACAACTTACTTTTGTCTCAAACCTCAAACCAATTTTTTTAACCTACTACGCAAAAAGTCCTTGGCAAAAAGGCACATGATAAGGATCATTTACTTTCACACATTTTGTTCGTTTCCAATAATAACACCGCTCTGAATCCAAAGAAGAACGTTCAACACCTAACCTGTTGAAGTTTCAGCTCAGTGGATGGTACACTTTTCGAGAACTGTATGAAAAACCACGCACAACCTTTTGATCACAAGACCTGATAGCATCTCTAGCACTCTTCATTCCAAAAATCATTTAATTGACTGATCGTTGGAAATCACCCATATTTCTTGATTTCTTCTAAATGACAGCAAGCCAGATGGAATAATTTTACAGGGTGTTTAGTACCAGTACGATCTTTAATCCGAGGAAGCTTTCTGCTAATAATTTGGTTGGTTACATTTGAGATGAAAGCAAACGATCCTATATCCCTAACTCCCTTGGCCTTTTTGCTAGGATGTAGCCTCAATCCTGCACAATCCTCCAAAAATAGGATAGCCTTGATCAATCTTGTACATTCCTCCATTATTTCTTGAATATGGTCCATGGAGGGGTGACCACTGCCTGAATCCTGCAAAATCCTGCGGCAGTGACTGTCAATATGTTGAGACTTGGCCAGTGACATCCTGGAGCAGTACGGAGGATTTCAAGCATAATCCAGGCCTATATGCATGGCTGAGCAAAAACAACACAAGATCCGGCCCAAGACCTCAACAAAGTGCATCCTACAAAATCAGTAACGCACTTTTGCCATGTAACCTCAATCCTCCAAATTCCTTCAATTTGGCAAAGAGGATTTTGAAGGATTCAGGGCGGTTAGGGTTAAGCCTTTAATGTGCTCAGTAATCATCAGCTGGGAACCAATCATATCCAATATACATTGCATGACATTTTGCCTGGTAACCTGTATGTGAATAATGTGAATAATCGTTAAAAACTTACTGGTGTCGTTGGGGCATGGATTTCCCAAGTGCATTGTGGGATGTAGATTGGCGTAGGTCTTTGCGAGATGGACAAAGACATCGTCATCTAGGGTAGGGTTTGGTAGATTTCTTGATGCGTAGGCTGGTGCGAAGTAAAAAAAAAAATATCAAAATTTGACAAAAAATCTCAGACTCGTCATTTAAAGATGTTCTGTCTGTCCTCTTGACCAATTTATATTCATTTCAACTTGTATTCATTATTGTCATGAAAACACTACCTCGATGTAACATTCAACATTGTATAAATTCCGTATTGTCTGAAAAATAGCAATTTAATAAAAAATTTCCGTATTTCTTATTACGGTAAAAACTAATATGGGCTCCGAGCGCAAGTAAGAAAGTGGGAGTTGGGAAAACCACGGGGAGATATTTGAACGTACTGCCGATGAAGCCTGATGCTCACGCGAAAGCACAATGGCTTTAAGCACGTTCAGAATAAATTACGTTGTATGCACTTCACTCTATACTTGTGTGTACACACGACCCGAGGACAGACAGAAAAAGGGAGAACAACAGATTTTTTGTTGACCTCAAGTTCATCTTTTGTTGAAAACAATCCTCGATCGTTGCGTTTATGTGCTTAGTCTATGGGAGAGTGTTATATTACAGGAATAGAGGAAAAGACAATGGCTTGTCCTCGGGAGTTATGTAAACACGACTGTGTGTACTTTGCTCTATGTGTATGTGAACTATTTACACCCCAAGAACAGACACACAAAGGGAGAACAACAGATCCTTTCAGTCCTCAGAAGTTGGGACTTTTGTTCAAAACGGTTCTCTGTAGTACTTTTGTGTGCTTAGTCTATGGGAGTGTGTTATATTACAGGGACAAAGGAAAACAAAAGGCATTGTCCTCGGGAGTATAGTAAAACAAGAGAATGTGAACTTGTCTGCGCACTCAGTGTGTCCCATCATTTTGAGTTTTTGAAAGCGGTCACAAAGCGTCATTTACTGTTTGTAAAACAAGTACGTAGAATTTTTTTTCTTCATATTTTAATGATTTTTGTTAAAACCATTAGCTATCTGGTTGTTGGCTAGGCATACTGCCCTCGGCCGTGCGTGCAAAGATCCAATAAGTCTGTGATGCTGACCAGGACTTGTGAGGCATGTTTCTCACCTGGGTGGTGGTTGGCTGTGTAAGGGTATCTGACCACCGATGTGCCACCGTACAGGGCCACCGACAGGGTGAACGGCCGGCTCTGCAGCCAGCCAATCACGACCCTCGTCTCGGGCTGAAGGTCTGCCACGCTTCGGTTCACTACTACACCTGTAAACGTCAAACATTTAGCAATTTAGAAAATTGAAGTGGTTATTAAAAGCGACCATGACATGAATTTTACACTGGAACATATTTAGTGCAAATGTTCATTCCTCTGAAATGTATGAAAACTATGAGACATCCTATTTTGGCTAAGATGTTTTCAAGGTGCATTTTTGAAAACATTTTAACTGTTCCATGCTTTTGCTGACAACCGAGGGCGCTCTTACTGTGATGCCATTTCAGGAAGACACCGTTCAGTTTAGAGGTTTTCTGTTCAAATAGTGAACACAAAAATGTGGTCATCCAAAACAATTGTGCATACAATTTCCTAACTGACTTACAGCTTACCAAACAACAATGAATATCTCAGAACAGAAAATTTACCACGGCAAAAAGTCACAAATTCTGGCAACTTTTGGTCGGTGCTGAAGTTCCTGCCTTGAGTGACATCACAGTTTTGCTCATGAATATGCAAATTAGCATTAGCATAAAAACTAAAAAGCCTTTCAGATAGGTCTGGCCACGCCCCCTGGCCACTACTCATGAAGACTCGCAAATTAAAAGATTATCGGACTGAAAACTGAGCTTACTTGGGAAGTCCTGTTCCAGGTCGACGTGGTGAGAGTTTCCCACCCCGACCTTTCCGTTGCAAGTTCCCTCGGTATCCCACGCTGCCTCGCTGCCGTCTGGGTTCATGTTGGGCAGTAGATGGATCTGTGTTTTGTCAATCAGCTGCGACAGATAACCAAAACAAAAAAATTTGAATATCCAAGATGGTTTTTTTTTTTTATGTGTAAAGTGAGTTGCTTACACCCTAACACTGTAAAAAATGCATCCTTAAGGCCCCCCCCCCCCAAAAAAAGTCTCCGGTTTCTGGTATGCGCGCGCGTCGCCGTAGCCATGCGCGTCGACAAAATGAAAAAGTTTTTTTTTCAATGAAAGATGATGTCTGAAAACCGCCAAACTCACTGGTTTGACTGGAATTCTGCTGCTGCACAATTTTAACGTGTTTTTAGATAAGGTTATGGTCGAGAATAAGCTTTATGTGGCCTCTCTGGACTCCCATATAATTTGCACTGAGTTTAGTCAGGCACCATTTGCAGTCATCAGCCGACATTTGAAGCAAAAAAATCAGGTAAAAAAAAAAAAAAAGCCGCGTCGCCGCACCACTTTTTGGGCAAGCTCCATACCAGAAACCGGAGGGGTTTTTTTGGGCCTAATCCTGAAAAAACCTCTAACTGCTTTCATGCAAAAAAAATTATACATTGCTAGGGCTGTTCATATTCGAATAATTTAGTATTAGATTATTTGAAACTGTGTTTGACCGAATATTCGGATATCCGAAACTGCCACCTGCAACTGCGTGCAGCGTCGCTCAAAAGTTATACGCAGAGCGCGCCAGATGCATGCGGCAATCGATATTGGCCATAGGAGTGCTTTGCAGTATTTTATATCTATCAGGGCTTCAACCTTATAAAAGAATGATAACACTGATCCGCCGTAGACAAAAGTTACCGTCGACACAAAAGTGGCACCTGACAATAAAGTGCCGTGCTTAACGATAAAATAACGTCACAGTCGTGTGTGTACATGGGTAGTTATTTTTTGTTTTGGAATATTCCAACTGGTAAAAAGCTATTCGAATAAGCCTTTTCGGAGTTCCAACTGCGCGCATTCGTAACCTGTGACAACGCACATTGTTTGTCTCAAATGCCCTTTGACAGTACCCACAATGCACGAACAGCCTTTTTGTAAAGTCAGTGGCGCGATGATGTCAAAGGCCATTTGAGACAAACAATGCGCGTTGTCACAGGTTATGAACGCGCAGTTGGAACTCCGAAAAGGCTTATATTCAGTTGATGATTGAATATGTGACTATTTGGAATCTTCGGGACAGCCCTAGATATCTCCTTAATGCTCCAAAAATTGTTATTTCTTGCATTTGATTTGTGGAGGGGTGACTACTGCCTCAATCCTTCAAAATCCTCTAACAGTCATTAAAACGCAATGAGGAATTGCCAATGATATCCAGAAGCAGTGCGGATGATATCTAGTATAATCTAGGCACAATATGATATAATGTATCCAACAAAATCTAACGACACAAAAAGTTAGAGCCAAAATCCTGCAAAATCCTCTAAAATCCTTCAAAATCCTTCAAAGTCCTCCAATTCCATCTTATAATAAAGTCCTCCAAAATCCTCGAAAACCAATTAATTTAATGATGGACTTCAACTTATTCCCTTCCCGCTACCTTGGTGATGACATCATCGTTTCCATAGTTACGCAGGAGATAATCGGCCAACCCGAGCAGGAGTTCCCTGCCTACCGGCTCGTTGCCGCGGACATTGGCCACAAATTTGACCTCGGGCCTGCCCGGGGTGTGGTGGCCAGGGTGCTTGCCGATCTCGAACGTCCAGAGCTGGCGAAAGTCTGCCGACTGGCCAATGCTGTAAAAACGTAAATAACTAATATTCATTATACAGTGCTGATGCTACACATTATACCAACTTCTAAAACATTTTATAATTTATTACCCCTGTTCATCACGCCATGAGACCATTTTTTTTGCGTAGCAGCTCAGGATGATCACAAATTGGTCACTATCCCCAGAAGATAGGTAGTTGTGGTAAAGTGTCTTGCTCAAGGATACAGACACCCAGGTCAGGATAACCACAAATTGGTCTTTATCCCCAGGAGAGAGGCAATTGTGGTAAAGTGTCTTGCCCAAGAACACAGACTCCAAGCTCAGGATAACCACAATCTGGTCTCTATCCCCAGGAGAGGCAATTGTGGTAAGGTGTCTTGCCCAAGAACACAGACACCCAGTTCAGGATAACCACAATCTGGTCTCTATCCCCAGGAGAGAGGCAATTGTGGTAAGGTGTCTTGCCCAAGAACACAGACACCCAGTTCAGGACAACCACAAACTGGTCTTTATCCCCAGGAGAGAGGCAATTGTGGTAAAGTGTCTTGCCCATGGACACAGACACCCAGCTCAGGATAACTGCAAACTGGTCTCTATCCCTAGGAGAGAGGATATTGTGGTAAGCTGTCTTGCCCAAGAACACAGACACCCAGTTCAGGATAACTGCAAACTGGTCTCTATCCCTAGGAGAGAGGTAATTGTGGTAAAGTGTCTTGCTCAAGGACACAGACACCCAGCTCAGGATAACCACAAACTGGTCTCTATCCCCAGAAGAGAGGTAGTTGTGGTAAAGTGTCTTGCTCAAGGACACAGACACCCAGCTCAGGATAACCACAAACTGGTCTCTATCCCCAGAAGAGAGGTAGTTGTGGTAAAGTGTCTTGCTCAAGGATACAGACACCAAGCTCAGGATAACCATAAAGTGGTCTCTATCACCAGGAGAGAGGCAATTGTGGCAAAGTGTCTTGCCCAAGGACACAGACACCCAGCTCAGGATAACCACAATCTGGTCTCTATCCTCAGAAGAGAGGTAATTGTGGTAAAGTGTCTTGCCCAAGGGCACAGACACCCAGCTCAGGATGACCACAAACTGGTCTCTATCCCCAGGACAGAGGCAATTGTGGTAAAGTGTCTTGCCCAAGGACACAGACACCCAGCTCAGAATAACCGCAAACTGGTCTCTATCCCCAGGAGAGAGGCAATTGTGGTATTCTGTCTTGCCCATGGACACAGACACCCAGCTCAGGATAACCACAAACTGGTCTCTATCCCCAGGACAGAGGCAATTGTGGTAAATTGTCTTGCCCAAGGGCACAGACATCCATCTCAGGATAACCACAAACTGGTCTCTAACCCTAGGACAGAGGCAATTGTGGTAAGGTGTCTTGCCCAAGGGCACAGACATCCATCTCAGGATAACCACAAACTGGTCTCTATCCCTAGGACAGAGGCAATTGTGGTAAAGTGTCTTGCCCAAGGGCACAGACACCTGAAAGCTCATAATCTTTGTTTTACCTCTTAAGGTGAGTAATATCTGGGTAGCGGGTAGCCAATTGGCGCAGGTATTTCTCCATAGCGTCGTAGTTGTGATAAACCATGTCAATGGGCTTCTGCAGCTTAAAGATGACTTTCTGCATCTGGGGAGCAATATTATCACGTCAAACTTGAAGTCATGTAGGATCATTTGCTTTTCATGCATTTTGTTTGCTTCCAATAGTAACACCACTCAAAATCCAAAGAAGAACATTCAAAATCTACCCTGTTGAAGTTTCAGGCTCAGTGGATATTACACTTATCGAGAAAACAGTGAAAAACCATGCACAACCTTTTGATCATGAAACACAATTTTGTCGATGGTAGTCTTTATTTCCAAAAATCAGTCAACTGACTGATCGTTGGAAAATCACCTACATTTCTTGATTTCTTCGCAATGACAGCAAGCCAGACGGAATAATTTCAAGGGTGTTTAGTACCAGAATGATCTTTAATGCAAGTTAGATTTTTTGATAATACTTTGGTAGGTACTTTTGGGATAAATGCAAATGATCTTTAAAGGGAATATACAACATTTGCGAACATCTAAAAACATAACTACCAAATTTTTACAAAATACCTTACTAGGATGTTGGTAAATGACAGTCTAAAGCATCCTGTAAAATTATGGCACCCGGTGTGAAGTCGTTTTCAAGAAAAGTGGCATTTTTGTATAAATTTCCAACGGTGGTCGGCCGACCACCGTTGGAAAAACCTGACTTTTTTTCAACTACTGCTCCATTTTACCATTTTTTTTCAGTCCAAATTTTGTTTGCTATTGGTTATATGTTCATGAATGGGTGCAGGCCAGCTGGACTGGTTCCTTTATCATACAATTTTCCGGCATCTATAAATTGATCCATTTCATCTTTAGTGGAGTAAGGGAACCAGACTACTTGAACATTTTTTGCTTTTCTTGGTTTTAAGCATTTTCGAACAAAAAAAGTTCAAACATGTCAGTGTAACAATATTTGATCTATTATACTAACCCCTCATAAAGTTAATTTCTGAAAATTACAGCAAAAGCCAATGATGTACATTCCCTTTAATGCCTTTAAGTTAATAACAATTAATTATGCAAGACGCGTGGGGCTAGTGGCGCTGTTTAGTATATGGATGTAAAACAGGTGCTGTGGAAAGTACCGCGCATCAATTTTCATTTGAACACAAACAAACTATTAACCATTTTGCGCAAGGATTTTTTTGGCTGAAAATTTCGATTTTTTGCAAAAGGCAAAATATTCCAGCAAACTTCTGATATGCAGCCACACGCAACATATACTGATTCGCAAGAGCCATTTCAAAAGTATTTGTCCGATATTTCTTGCCGAAACCTGGGATGTTGCAAGACTCCGAGGCGTGCACAGAAGCGTAAATTGTCGAACAATAGGCCGCGCACAACGGCCAATTCAAGATCAACACACACGGTCTGCCTCCACAGACTTCACAGACTTTGTGCGTGTGTACAAAAGGCACAAGGGATTAGTGTGCTTAGACGTCACCTAGAGGCAAGACGGCAATCTTGACATTTAAACCTGTCAGCTGTGCCCGTGTATAAAAACAGCCAGTGCGTGTTATCACGTCCTCCGAAGCGAACTAGTTAAAGAGGTTGTGGAATGCTCGAAGACATTTCCGTCATTTTTTGGGTATATGTAGCCTAAGGTGTGATGAAATGAAAACGACTATTGTTTCTGTCATGAAATGAGTACAAAGGTTACTTTTGAGAGCTGTTTTTCAGGTCCTGTTTCGACCCGAACGTGCAATTTGTGTAAAAGTCGTCGTTACTGGCAGCAAACAAAACACAGTAAATCGTGACGTAATAAACAGGACTCGTTTATGCTACTCTGCATCGGGAGTCCTGTTTATTACGTCACGATTTACTGTGTTTTGTTTGCTGCCCGCAACGACAACTTTTACACAAATTGCACGTTCGGGTCGAAACAGGCATGACAGGTCTTGAAAAACAGCTCTCAAAAGTACCTTTTGTACTCATTTTATGACAGAAACAATAGTCGTTTTTATTTCATCACACCTTAGGCTACATATACCCGAAAAATGACGGAAATGTCTTCGAGCATTCCACAACCTCTTTAAAGGTGTCTTCGCGTAGGCAAAGGTGCAGGAAATCTATTACTTGTGACACATACCTGGTTCTTCTCCACGTTGATGTGTTTGGTTATCGGCATGAACCCCGGGGCCTCCGCCATGATCACATGATCGCCAGGCGGCAGCAGGCGATGGAAGGACGCAGTCTGGCCAGAGAGGGCGATGTTGCGAGTGTGACCGACTAACGCAAGGGTGGCCCCTGGCAGTGGCATGCCCTTGTTGTCCTGCACGGTACCATGAATCCCTGCCATATGAAAAGCAATTGTAACCGTTGTATTTTTGAGCAACTCACACATGGCTTATGTCCTTGGGCAAGACACTTTACACATTTTGAAATCTAAAATGCAATTTGTGTTGCACCGCCAAAGTTGTGTATATTGCCTATTCATAAACAGCAGAGATTAAACCCTGGCATCATCATCATCTTGATTTTTAAGCTCTAGCAGGAGCTTCTCCATGTCAATTCATTATCGGTCGGTCTGTCTGTCTGTCTGTATGTCCCCGGAAAATTGACCAAAATGAACCTCGTTAGTTTCTAATAAAATATAACCACCAAATTTTAATTAAATAAAAAAAAGCAAACAAAATTAACTAAGTACTTAACAAAAAGTGTCTGTAACAATTCCGAACGATATTTATAACAAGTATGTAGATTTGAGGCAAAATATGTGCAGTAATGTTATAGTCACGTGGTATTTATCACAAATCGTTATAAATCTAGGTATGATTCTAAAGTATGGTGTTCCATATGTACCATTGGCGTCGCTTTTTTGGGCGTCGCTTTTTTAAGCTCTGGCAGGGATCATCATAAATCTAGGTATGATTCTAAAGTATGGTGTTCCATATGTACCATTGGCGTCGTATTTTTGGGCGTCGCTTTTTTTAGCTCTGGCAGGGATCATCATAAATCTAGGTGTGATTCTAAAGTATGGTGTTCCATATGTACCATTGGCGTCGCGTTTTTTGGGTGTCGCATTTTTAAGCTCTGGCAGGGATCATTTTGATAGATTTTATGCAAGACTTTCATGCAAGACGGCTAGAGTTTATTGTGCACTCGCGCTTGTTTTTTATACACACATAGATTAAAAGAGCTAGCTATTAAAAATTGGTTCTTTTAAAGGGAATATACAACATTTGCAAACATCGAAAAATAAAACTACCAAGTTTTTACAAAATACCATTAGGATGTTGGTAAATGACAGTCTAAAGCATCCTGTAAAATTATGGCACCTCGTGTGAAGTCATTTTCAAGAAAATGGTATTTTTGTATACATTTCCAACGGTGATCGGCCGACCACCGTTGGAAAAACCTAACTATTTTTCAACTACTGCTCCAACTTTACACTTTTTCAGTCCAAGTTTTGTTTGCTTTTGGTTACTTGTTCATGAACGGGTGCAGGCCAGCTAGACTGGTTCCCTTATCTTACAATTTTCCAGCATCTATAAATTGATCCATTTTATCTTTAGTGGATCAAGGAACCAGACTACTTGAACATTTTTGTTTTTCTTGGTTTTTCCAGCATTTTCAGACACAAAACTTCAAACATGTCAGTGTAACCATATTTATCTTTTATACCAAACCCTCAAATAGTTCATTTCTGAAAATTACAGCAAAAGCCAATGATGTACATTCCCTTTAAGAAACCTTTTCCTCATAGAGTTCCTTAAAATTGTGTGATTAGGAGGGATAATATGAGAAACAAAATAATGGGATTAAATGTAAAGAATCGGCCTGTACCTTGTTGGGCCTGGCGTATGAACCCCATCAACGGTTCTAGATTCTCCCTCCATAGAGACTGCAAGGCTGTGTGGTCTGGGTACTTGCAACAAGACACATGGCTTGTGATCTGAAAGTAGGAACACGCCGTAGAAGTGTGACGTCACGTGGGGTCATCTTCAATAGTGTTGTGTCCAAACAATGTCTCTTCCGCCATTTTTACCGTAGGATTTGATCGAGTGATTTAGACGAACTCCCTTGCAGAGGGCCTATTTTTTCTATTTTTCTATTTTTTTTTAAGATTAGGCCCAAAAAAGTCTTCGGTTTCTGGTATGAAGCTTTTGCCAGAAGTGGTGCAGCGGCGCGTTTTTTTTTCCCCTATTTTTTTTATCTTCACATGTCGGCTGATGTTGCAGATGACGCTTTAATCTCCTTAAAACTCTTAAAAAATATCCTTTAGGGTGGAGCTAGAGATGACCTCGGTAAGGCCATAAGGCTTGAGAATTCTGCACCCACTTACGATCTCTACCGACAAACATTCTTCGGGAAATTTGGATAGTCAAGAAAAAAATCAGAGGAAATGGTAACGTCAGGCCATACAGCGACATCAACATCGTGCATGTGCTGCCAGGCTGGTCATTAGTCTGCTCCCTTACACATTTCGCTAATATAAAAGCGTTTACAGGTTCCAGATACATGACCATCGCTCCCTCAGTCTGGCTTCCAGACGCACAATTACAAAATTATAACACCGTCTGCAAATGGCACCCGACTAAACTAAGTGCAAAATATATGGAAGCCACATAACACTTATACTCGATCATAACCCCATCTAAACATGTAAAAATTGTGCAGCAGCAGGATTCCAGTCAAACCAGTGAGTTTGGCGGTTTTGAGACATCATTACATGGCTATGGCGAAACGCGGGCTGACCAGAAACTGGAGACTTTTTGGGGGGGCCTTGAACATTTTTCGTGATATTTCATTGTCAACCTTACCATGTAAGCTCTTTGCTTCAAATACATGTAATCTTGCAGGGAGTTCTGTCTGGGCGTCCAGTCTGACCCTCGCACAATCCCCGCCTGGAACCTGCGCCCGTGGCAGTTCACCTCCGTGTGCAGAGTGGGATGGTCCAGGGCAAAGGTCGAGGCCAGGTAAGACAATAGGTCGTCATCCTCAGTGACCGCCCCTTGGGCCAGTTCATTACCTGCGACAGAGGTGTCTAAGGGATACCTGTAAAAAAAATTCATATATTATCACTGCTACATTGTTAAAGGGAATATACAACATTTGCAAACACCGAAAAATAAAACTACCAGTTTTTACGAAATACCTTACTAGGATGTTGGTAAATGACAGTCTAAAGCATCCTGTAAAATTATGGCACCTGGTGTCAAGTCATTTTCAAGAAAATTGTATTTTTGTATACATTTCCAACGGTGGTCGGCCGACCACCGTTGGAAAAACCTAACTATTTTTCAACTACTGCTCCAAATTTACAATTTTTTTCAGTCCAAATTTTGTTTGCTATTGGTTACATGTTCATGAACGGGTGCAGGCCAGCTAGACTGGTTCCCTTACCTTACAATTTTCCGACATCTATAAATTGATCCATTTTATCTTTAGTGGAGTCAGGGAACCAGACTTCTTAAACATTTTTGTTTTTCTTGGTTTTTCAAGCATTTTCGAACACAAAACTTCAAACATTATAGTTAAAACAATATTTGATCTATTATACTAACCCCTCAAATAGTTCATTTCTGAAAATGACAGCAAAAGCCAAATGATGTACATTCCCTTTAAGCAGATACAATATATGGTGTGCGTTAGGAGTGACTACATTATGAGTTGTGGGGACTTCTGCTGTCCCCACAGCGCCATTGCTACCCACAATAACTATTGCTCCATCAGGTTTGCAGTTCCCAAAACTATTGAACAAATTAGTGTGTACATGTACTACGTAATTTGAGAGGACCGAGACACGAGAGGGAGAACAAAAGATCCTTTCAGTCCTCTAACGTTGGGTCTTTTGTTGAAAACGGTCCTCGATCGTACGGTTATGTGCTTAGTCTATGGGAGAGTGTTATTACTACTATTACTGTAATAGGGCGACAGATTTTGCGAACTCCGTCCACAATAGGGCGATACACCTTATTAAGGCGACATTTTCACTGTCGCCCTTTTATGAAAACGACCCTTAGGACAAGGAATTTTGCTGTCGAAAACCATCTAGATCGATTCCTCATGGTCCAATTAGTATAAATACTAAATTTCGTGGAAAAAAATAAGGTAAACTTGGGTTAGGTGACAGTTTAGGTTTGTGCACAAGTCTATGGGAAAGTCACCCTATTGGGGCGAAAAGAGTAATTATTATTATTATTATTATTATTATTATTATTATTAACTACTCGACAAGCATTGCTTTTTAGGGATCCCCATCCACATATTTGTATACATTTAACTCTGATTGTTTTTTTTTTGTGTGGAAAATAAAGTGAATTGAATTGAATTGAATTGAATTGAACTTGTTATGTGCATATTCTTATTTTTAAAGTTTTTGGCTATTAACCTGTTTCACCTTAGCAAATACTTTTTGATACGTAAACATGGAATACTGACACAACTTTATGGACGCCTGAAAGCATTGCTGGCAACGCTCATGCAAAGATGCTAGGGGTTTTGGTACTTAGCGACATTTGCACCTAAACCTTTAGTTCTTTTTTGAGTCTGTAGTTTGTTCACATACCTGACCCACATGCCACCCGCTTCGATGCTGAGCACTAAGCTGTATTGCGTGGTAGTGAGGAGGTTCTTCACCATGGTTAGCTCTGGTCTTGTGGACATCTGTTTCAAAAGAAGACATGGCAAGCGCACAAAATATCGATTCTGATTGCATTCTCTGGAAGTTTTTCATACATCTAGTGTATACAATGGGGTTATCCTATACAACAGCACTGCCCGGGTCCCTTCATCAGCCAATAGCCAGGCTGTAGTCAAAAGTCAGTAAAGTCCATCAGTTGGTGAGTCGGTCAATCAGATAGGTACTAAGAACATATGTAACATGTCAGTATTTCCATTGCTTTACAAAACAACAGTGCTTTATAGTCGAGAAAATCAATGTTTCAGATTTTATTTAATTCTGCAATTACAGCAGAAAACGGCACTTTCAAGTGTATGCCGATTTGCAATGAAAAATGTAGGACACTTTAACTTTTTCTGGTACAGAACTTACAGAGTACCAGAGTACCAACAATACCACCACAAGTCCCTGGAGAGAAGGCCGACGTCAAAAAAAAATGCTTTCCAACACAGATATTTACGATTGTCTCTGGAGAGCTCAGCTCCAGTAGTATTACTATAAATGCATCTAATATTTGTCAGTCAGTTTGTGTACATGTACAGGCAGTTAGTAAGAATAATCTGAGCTGAGCTCTCCTGAGACCTCGTAAATATCCATATTGGAAAGGATTTTTTTGACGTTGACGTTTTCTCCACAGACCACCTTTCAAGTTTGGTTGAGATTGATGACTGACCTTACAGTGAACCTAACTGAAATGGTACAAACACACACACACACGGACACACGGAAGGAATACGCGATCACAATATCCCCCTGTCTACCTTGAAAGCGAGGGGGATAAAAAGTACAGCGTGTTCAGGGCTGCGTTCACATTTGGGCGTGTCTTAATACCATTTTCCCATTTGGGCCGAACGCATGATCGAAGGACTCCCCCGTGAAGTGTTCCCCTTGGCAATCCCCTTGCTGGGAATGGTCGAACCCATCCAGGTCAATGGCCGGTACTATCACAACTGAGGTCTGGTTCAGGATCTGGGTGACAACGCTGTCGCCTCTCTCATAGCCTGACCGATAAGAAAAACGGAAAAAAAAATCTGGTTAAAGAGGTTGTGGAATGCTGAAAGTCGTTTTGTTTTTTATATTTTTTATTGTAGAGTAGACCCATATATATCATAATGACAAAGTCCCCTTCTTTTGTAATGTGCGTTTATATGTTTCTAAAACTGAAATTCATTGAGTAATTTGTTGGTCGGCGAGCGCATAATTGAAATCAACAGTTGTCGGGTTCTTCGTAAAATGAGAAAAATCGTGACGTAATAAACAGGACTCGTTTATACTACGCTGCATCGGGACTCCTGTTTATTACGACACGATTTACTATGTTTTGTTTGCTGCCCCCAACGACGACTTTTACACAAATTGCACGTTAGGGTCGAAACAGGACCTGAAACACAGCTCTCAAAAATACCTTTTGTACTCATTTCATGACACACAATAGTCGGCCATGCATAAATGTGGGCCTAGATTATACTTGAAATCCTCCACACTGCTCCAGGATGTCACTGGCTCTGCCTCAACATATTGACAGTGATTGCTAGGGGATTTTGCAGGATTGAGGCAGTAGTCAACCCTCCAAGGATCGCATTCAAGAAACAACGGAGGATTTTGCAGGATTGAGGCTGTATCCAATTTTTACATGGAGGCAGTTGGAGGAAATGCAGGATTGAGGTTGCTGGGCAAAAATACCTGGGGAGTTAGGGTTAAACTTTTTCACGAATGATGATCATCAGATAATGCAACTTTTACCTTCAGCCAGATGCCGAATCAGCCGCCAGAGAATCTCCCGCCCCACCGGCTCGTCCCCTCTCAGTCCACCAATCAGAGCCACCCGTGGCATGTCACTCACGTCCTCCTCTGCGCCAGGATTGGTTAGTATCGCCCCTGTTACGGCCTGATTGGCCGCTGTGGCACCCAGGGGCAGCAGCCTCAGGACTCCCGAGCTCTGGCGTTGGGGACCGGAAAATTTATGAATGAGTACAATACGTAGTAGTTTTATGATGCTAACGTTCTTACGACTTTCCAACAAACCGATAAGGTCTATGGTCATGGGTCACATGAGACAGCAGAGTTGGGGGAAAACAATTTACGTACATTTACTTCATAATAATCAGACAACTTCCCTTTTGGATTTTTGCAAATGTTGTCCACTACCATTAATAATTCATACCACTACCATTAATGTTCATATTATAATTCTAATTTTCATACTATGTTTTCATTGGTTTAACACACCCTAGGGAGTTACGGATATGGGTCATTTATACATTTGGGGTCCACTTTTTTCCTGTCCCTGTTACCTCTGACATCTTTGATTTTATAATTCTGACGAGTGATTATCAGGCTTTCAAGCAGACCCAGGAGAAAAAGTAGGAAAACAGTATGATCAAAATTTAAATAAAAAAAAACAGGGAAAATTACCTTTCGAGTACAAAATCAGGATAAAGTAGGACTTTTGCAGGCTTTCAGGAGTACTTTTCATTAATATATATGTCCACTGCATCATAAGCCTCATTTGGAATGTTCTGGTACTCACAACACTTGTGCTCCATCCTCAACTAAGCTCTTGGAAGTACAGTTGCAGTACTCCTGCGCCCAAGCCCTTCATTGTGTGATTTACACGTACATATGACAGTGTGTAACACTGTTATGAAAAATATTCAATGAGATTTCATTTTTTAGGAGTTTTGGGGCAAACAAGTTTGACAAAAGTAGAAATTTCAAGAAAACAGTAGGAAAAGTAGGAGCAAAGTAAACAAAAAATAGAAAAAAAAGTAGGAAAAGTAGGAATACTTGAAAGTCTAGATTAGGCCAAAAAAAAAAAGTTCTGCTTCCGATTACATGGCATTTGAAAATAGGGTAGGTAGGTAGGGACATTTTTTTGTTTAATTTTTTGTTTAATTTTTTTGTGTGTAAATTCTTTTTGTGTACGATCATATGGAGGCTTCTGCGTGTAGTCAAGGATAAGAGGTAGAAATTGATGGTTTTTGGGTGTTATTTACTCATTTTTCCAATAAAAAAATTAGGGTAGGGGCTGTCAGAGTAGGGTAGGTAGGGAAACCGGAAGCAGAACTATTTTTTTTGGGCCTTATGAATAACAAAATACCTACTCAACCAACAAACAAACCAACAACCGTATGTAGTCACTCTTAATGACGTTGTGACAAACCACAATGGACAGGAAAGATGTCACACTTTGGAACTCTAAATAATAGAATGACCCACAAGCATCGACTACATGTAGCTAACCCTGGATTTGGGGTAAAAACTCGGCCAAAAATGCCTCCATACCTGGTACTTGGCCTCCAGTTCCGTCATCTTGGCAGCCAGCGCCTCATTGGACAGGTAGTCTGCCGAGTCCTGGGGCAGGCCAAAGTCGAACGTCTGGGCCCACTCTTGGTCCGACAGCGCGGTGTTGAGCGGGGTTTTATCCGGCGCCGTTTCCCCGCTGTGTACCAGCGTGAAATTCAGATCTACGGCCCATTCCTCTTGGACCGTGACGGTCTGGGTCTGAGGAACGAATCTTTTGAGGGAAAAAAAAGGCAGAGAATGTTTCAGTGCAAGATGTTGTAATCCATCTGACTAATAAAAGTTGCTCGCTGATATGTCTATATATTGGTATGGTTCGTTACATTCTTTTTATACTTGGTGGTTTTTACTGAAAAAATTATTAAGTGTACATGGTCAGGCCACAAATGCAGCTTTTTTCGTGTCCCTGTTACATCTGAAACAATATTTTTTAATTCACGACCATTCTTTAATACCTTTTATCTCCAACCCTGATTATGTAAAGCAAAGTACCTACCAAGCAAATAAAAATTAGTTTGAAGTCAATTTTAATGATACTTCCATGGCAAATTACACATGTAACAGGAACACAATACAAAAGTTGGACCCCCATTGATGGACTGACCCTAATGTAAAAGTCCAATCTACTTTTTTGTGTGATTTCTCGTACACGTTCATGAAATCTATTTTTTGTTTTGTTACACCAGGAAAGCAATTTCACTGTTTTTATAAAAAAGGTAGGGTAGATCGTTTGTCATTTTTTCATTTTTTTCATTTGAAGCAACAAAAGTGCTAAAATATAAAGACGGGTGCTTAAAAGGGAATATACATCATTTGCTTTTGCTGTAATTTTCAGAAATGGATGGAATTGGGGGGTTGGAAATATATAGCAAATATAATTACACTGACATTTTTGAGGTTTTGGGTTCGAAAATGCTATAAAAACCAAGAAAAACAATCATTTTCCTGTAGTCCGGTTCCCTGACTCCATATAAGAAGAAACAGAGCAGTTTACATACATTGGGGAATTGTAAGGTCAGGGAACCAGTCTAGCTGGCTTGTACCCGTTCATAGGTGTGTAATCGATTGCAAACAAGTGCGATGGTCAATTGGGGCCAGTATTTGAAAAAAAGCCAGTTTTTTTTCAACGCTGGTCGGTCGACCAGCATTGGAAATTGATACAAAAATACCACTTTGCTTGAAAATGACAGTATACCAGGTGCCATGATTTGACAGGATGCGTTACACTGTCATTTACTAACAGTCCAGCAAGGTATTCAAAATGATTTGGTAGTTTTATTTTTTGATGTTTGCAAATGTTGCGTTTTCCCTTTAACAACTAAACCTGATGAAGTTTTAGCTCTGTGAACGCTGTAGATTTTGAGAAAACAGAACAAACATAAACACAATATTTTGGATCTTTAATTCAGTTTCAAAGTTGCTGAGTCGTATTTTGAATGATGCCCTCTCTTCTTACCCATCAGCTGAGGCAGTAATCTCGTACGTGCCGGGTACCAGCAGCCGCCAGTAGTCACCGTCCACAGCTGTGAGGAGATTGTGATCGATCCCCGCCACGCTGATGGTGGCGTTGACGATGCCTTTGCCCTTAGGGGTGACTACAAAGCCTTTCACTCCTCTGTGGACCTGAGATTGGACAGAGAATTTCCCAGAGTGTTATTTGTTTCAATTTTTCTTAGTTTCTACATTTTGTTAGGCTCAATTGGTTTTTCCTGTGTGAAAAATGTCTCAGTTTTTTCCACATGCATTGGAAAGAGCATTGTTTAATCTTTATTTTGATATATCACTCAGTATAAAATCTTAATATATGCAGATATTAAGTTGCCTGACTGTGATGCATGTTAAGATCAGGCCCATCACTAAGGCAAGTGGGCCCAGAGGGGCCGGCCCCCCTGGCAAGCAATTCGCCCCCCCCCCCTCCCCCCTTGGCAAAAACAATAGGTATCAAAATTTTATGTATAAATGTAATTATATGTGGTGTGCTCCCTAACTAATACTGTGCCCCCCCCCCCCCCAATACCAAGAGCAGGCAACGGGGCTGGTCAAGATCAAAAGCTGAAGTCACTTGGGCACCATCTTGAGAGGCCTATAGGATGCACCCATGCATTAAAATACCCATAGACACCAGCGCTAAATGCCCATACTTCACAATTCTTTTTAAAAATACTCAGAACTCTCACAGGTATTTAAGCTGCACAGAAAAATAATGATCAACATGTCATCTTTCATGTTCTTTTCATTTTTTAGTGGGTTGACCATTGAATTTTCGAAAATTCTCACCCAAAGAAGACCACCCCTATTTTACCCAAAGCGGAAAAGTAGCCATCGTGAAAAACGATCCCTCCACAACATGGCAAAATAGCGCCACTTTCGAGCCCAATTGCATCCAAAATGCTCAGAATTGGAAGCCCCAAGTCCGGGCCAGAGGTTCATTGCCATATCTCTTCAATTCCCTAATGTTATGGCTCTCCGAACTCTCTAATATAGAATATTTTGAGGCTACAACTTTTATTCATGAGCTCGGCGGAGGGATTTAGGCCTATTTACGAACGTGCACCCCTAAAACGCATACATTTCTGTGCATACAATTTTGATAAACCAAGCTATAGACGAATCTGGGCACATGGTCACTAGTGCACTCACATGGCCTCCGTCAAGGCAGAAACCATTGTGCAAGCTATTGTACAAAGCAACTGCCCCATGAGGGATTATCTGAACAAAAGCTAGCACAATGTAATTGAAGGAGGCCTTTCTGATAGGATTGATAGCGTGCCCGGATTGGTCTATATTGTATGTGCTGAATGTATATAGCAGCAGCCATTGGAGACCTAAAAAGTGACTTGCATGCGGCTTCACTTCTATGTGCAGAGTGATGGGGACATGCACAATCTAGTCAGTGTACAGAGATCAGTAAATTGATCAAGATGGCGTAATCCTTGAAGCTCACCTCCTCAATCAGGGCTAGCATGGCGACCTTGTTGGCGTTCCAATAGCTCCGCAGGTCCCTGGTCCTTGGGTACTTGACGCAGCCCAGCTCCAAGGTGATCTCAAAGCAGTTGCTGTGAAGGTAGTTCCAGTCTTGCATCCCGCCTGCAGTGTTAAGAATGATAGGAGGAATAAGGAGCAACAACCCGGGTACCTGACCACTGATGTCAGGAACCGGTTTCAGATTATGGGATCGGGTACCCGTAACCAACTTCACAAATTACTTTAGTAACTTCTCGCACTATGAAAAAAGAAAAGGTTTCAAATAGTGAATATCATTTGTGGGGAATTTTTTTCAACATGAAAACCAGGCTACATGGAAAACCAAAACAAACAAACGTTTATGTATGTTAGGCCAAACAACAAAAAACTTGGTCTCTGGTCAGACCAAAGTTCCAGAATTGATGCGGCGACGCGGCTTTTTTGGGGGGGGGGGGCTTTTTTTTTTTTCAAGCTTGGATTGTACAGACAAGGTGGGGTACTATTCTGCCTTTTTTTGGTGTCCTCATGTACATTGGTGCCCTCGATCATTTGCCTTGGTGCAATTTCCCATTCCTTGGTGCTCTTTGGTAAAAAATTTGAGGAGGTACGGCAATAGAGGGCGCTGTTGGAGTTACCGCGGAACATTTTGAAGAAAAAAAAGGTTGACGCGCATGATTTAAAATCGACGTGCGCGCTGACCAGAGACCGACTATTTATTTTGTTTGGCCTTATAATGCTTTGCAGTATATACCGTAAAGCTATAAAGCCATTCAGACAACTTCCGAGATTCAAAATTCAAAGTTTTTTTTTTACGCATACCCGGGTACCCGATTTTATTTCAATAGGGTATCCGATCCCCTACTACCCGTAAATACACACCACTAGCAACAAGCACTTGCTTTCTGTGAATTTTATTTTTTGACTCAACAAAATTGCTCAAAATCTAAAGAAGGGTGCATAACTATCCGCTCCGTTCACAAGTACTCCCTCACCGGCAATGAGAGTACAGTTGGGGGTGACCGACCGACGCCATCTTGCCTGACTGCAATTCATTTGCCGCGAAGCACGGCCACTGCGTGTACATAGTACAAATCCCTGGTGTACGTGCGTCACACACAAGGAACAGTGCGCGCCAACCAGCCAAATGTCCCGCCCATGGGACATTGTTGCAAGGTAAAAGGGCGCCGTCTTTCGTCGACGCACGGAGCCCGTACCCTTTGGGTCTTGTAACTGGATTTCGACGGTAATGCACAGAAAAAAAACTGGGCAGCCGTCACGTTTTACAACCACCTTTCAGTTGGAAATGTTATTCCGTGTCCCACAATAATAAAACAAGTCTTACCGGCAACGCTGTACCACTCAGCTCCGTTTGTGATGCCCTCTTTGAAGCTCTCGTTAGGGTAGAGATTTGGGCATGGATGGCCGCGGTGCATGGTGGTATGTGCCTGTTACAAAAAAAAAACCAAGAAATGGTTATCAAATGGTCTTCTTGAGGTACAGTGGATACTATACAAATAATGAATGTTTGTAAGTGCAATGGTACGAATAATTTCATGAGGTGACAGATGAAATGTTCGATTCCACGAGGCGAAGCCGAGTGGAATGGAACATTTCATCTGTCACCTCATGAAATTATTCTTTCCATTGCACGAACGTGAAACATTCATTATTTGTTTTATATAACACCTGAATAAAATTCCTTGTCATCTGATTGGTTGACTTTTAAAAGCCAATATATTCAGGTTAAAAACTGTTAAAAAGTTCGACAAGTTCATTATATTTATATTAATGCAAACTGTTCAATAGGTTGAGAACAATCATATTCAATTTATCTCGATTTGAAACAGCGCCACCACCAGCAGCAGTGACACCGTGCAATGGAAGTTCTATTCACAGTGCAATAGTACTTACATTGCACTGTGCGTTGCGCGCCACGCGCACGTTGGTACGAATAATTCAATGACATGTGATCAATGATTCACCAGTCAGATGACAGGGATTTATTCAGGTGTTGTATAAAACAAAATGTTGTATATAGGGCCCGCCTCAATTCATATCTGGGACGAGTTCTGGACGAGTTGCAGGTGGAATCATTCACTTTGTCCGGAAGAAGCTCTGTATTTGTACCAGACGTGTTCCGGAGAAAGTTTCATCAGCAACTGCTTGCCTCATCAATACTGATAACTTCATGGCGGGAAGATTGCGGGGAAGTTGTTCAGAATCCTGCAACTTATACCCGATCCAATGTCCGCAACGTGTCCGGAACTCGTTCCAGATATGAATTCAGACACTTAGACATTTTTTTGTTTAAAACGAACGCCTACCATTGAATATGCCTCGGTGATCTGAATAAAGACGGCATCGTCCGGACATTTACTGTAGCCGCTGGTGCCCGGTTTGTTGTCGTCCCAGGGATAGTTGGCCACCAGGGACCCCCCGTGGAGACCTGCCGACAGCACGAAGGGGTAGGACCGGATCCACTGCATCATGGCCCGGGTCTCGGGCTGAAGCTTGCCCTCGCTGGACCCGTACTGGTCCGGGAAGTTGCGGTTCAGGTCCACGTTGTGGGCGTTGTTGCGACCCATAACGCCCGTTTTATCGCCTGCAAATTTACCATTGTAAAAAGAAAAAATATACGCCATTATTGCACAGGAAGACAAAATTGCTGTAGGGTTTTCAAATTGTCGTTGGGGTTCTGGACAAAGTGAAGAATTCACATCCTCTTGCTGGACAGGTTGTGTCCTTGGGCAAGCCACTTTATCACATTTGGGAGAACAGAAAACACAACACTTGTAGAGATGTCTGGAGATGTAACATCACAGCAACTCATGGTAATGCAAATTTAGAATAAATGGCTACAGAATTGTTCAAGATATTTGAAGGGTTCTGTTCAAAGTAGGGGGTTCGAATCCAGCCACTGGACAAGTTACATCCTTAGGCAGACCACTTTACTATATCAGGTATCAAAAATTCTAGTTGATTTCCTATGTGACGTCGTCACTTTCGGTATGTTTACATACGCGATTACGGAAAAAGTGATACGCATAAGTCAATCTGATATTCGTGTTTACGACATGCAGCATGTTCTATTTTCTGAAAAGCAATACACGCACAAAGATGAATGACGCAAAAACTGAAACTGAACATCATCATGAGCCTCGTACGCAAACAAGAGAGGGCGCTGTCTTGCCACTTTCGGGAACCCTGTGGACGGAACACACCGCATGCGCGTACTGGTTCGCGCGCGTAGGGCCCAACTACATGTAATTTTATTCTGATGTGCGCAAAGCCATAGCGTATTCACGTGAGCATCAGGTGTTGTCGGCAATTTGTTCGAATATCTCTCCCAGTGGTCACCCCCAACTCTCCCTTCCTTACCGTTGAGGGGGTACTTGCACCAAGGTTGTAGTAGTCGTACTTGGTACTCGTACTTGAGTACTACTCAGGTACTTTTTTTGGAGTTCTCGTACTCGTACTCGTACTCGAATGTCAAAATACTCGTACTCGAAATGACGGTACTCGTACTCGGGCAGCAATGTACTCGCACTCGACATGTCGAAATTGTACTCGATCATCAAAATACTCGTACTCAAAAAGCAGTACTCGGGGGAAAAATTGGTGTAGCTTGACTTACCACGGCCTTATATTATCGATACTTTCAGTTTGAAATCGAAGTTTGTTGATTTTTCTCTGTGCATGTCGTGAGTGGGTCTGTATATCGCTCTGACTGAGTCTGGGCCAATAACGCACAATAAACCATTTGCCATATTGTATTCGGAAATACAAGTACTCTTACAAGTACTCGTACTCGGAGACCTGTACTTGTACTTGGAGGTACTCGTACTCGGTAACCTAAGTACTCAGCAGTACTCGGTACTCGGAAAATAGTACTCGACTACAACACTGAGCCAGCTAGTCAAGTTCTCCTCTGGAACCCTGAAGCCCCTCGACGGAAAGGTCGTCCAAACATGACCCTGAAAACATCCATGGAGCTAGAAACTGGTCTGAGTGGTCCATCCCTTTCCAACACTATGCTCGACAGGGACAGTTGGGCCCAACTCATCAAGTCATCATGAAAATGAATGAATGAAGAAGAAGAAGACAACACTGACTTGCACTCGGAGCCCAAACGCATGTGGGCATGTCATACACTTTTCATGTGACAGATATCTGTTAGGAAATACTGCTCACACATCTATCTATCTATCTATCTATCAGGCTACGTCCATCCACTGTCGAATGAAGCCCTCCTCATGACGTTTCCAATCACTTCTGTTTCTGGCTGTCCTAGTCCAAGTCGCTGTTCCCATATATGTAGTTATATCATCTCTCCATCTATTCTTTGGTCTTCCTCTCCTTCGCTTTCCCATTCGTGCTTGCCAATCTGTTAATCTGCATGTCCATCTATTATCCTGAATTCTTGCTACATGCCCTGCCCATCTCCATTTTGCTTCGCTGACTTTCTCTATGACATCTTCCATAGCTCTCTGTGCTGTTGTGAGTTTCTGTTCAAGTTCTTTAGTTAATGACCAAGTTTCTGATCCATAAGTCATAGTGGATAGCACACACTGATTGAATAGCATTATGAAGTAAAACCCGAAGCATGCCCTGCCTGTTAAACTCACCTTCATGGGCTTTCTCAAAGCCGTCCGGGTTGATCGACGGCATCAGGTGAATGCGCGTGTAGTCCACCAGCGCCGTCACCTCCGCAGACCGGTCGTAGTTCTCGCAGAGGAACTGGATCAAGTTGAGAACCAAGGCCCGACCTACGACTTCGTTGCCATGGATATTAGCGACGTACTTGAACTCTGGCTCACCTGCAGAAACAACATAAAAAAAAAAAGTGAAATTATCTTTTAAAATATCAATAAAAAATTACTAAGTAATCATCAAGGTGTGTTGCTTTCCCTTTAATAGAAACTTTTAAAAATCTAAATATACTTTAGGCCAAAAAAAAATATTCGGTCTCTGGTCAGACCGAAGTTCCGGAATTGATGCAGCGACACGGTTTTTTTTTGGGGGGGGTGGCTTTTTTTTTTTTTTTTTAGCGTGAATTGTACAGACAAGGTGGGTATTATTTTGCTTTTTGGTGTCCTCATTATACATTGGTGTCCTCCATAATATGCCTTGGTGCCCTGTATCATTTGCCTTAGTGCAATTTCCCCATTCCTTGGTGCTCCTTGGTACAAAAATTTGAGGAGGTGCGGCAATAGAGGGCGCTGTTGTAGCTTCCGTGTTTAATTTGAAGAAAAAAAAGGTTGACGCGCATGATTAAAATCGACGCGCGCGCTGACCAGAGACCGAGTATTTTTTTGTTTGGCCTTATTGTTATTTTTTTTTATTCTAATAATATATAGATATAAGCCCTATTTATTTTTTTTTTTGGGGAGGGGTGTCGCATGCTGTAATTTGACTGGTGTCTTTCAAAACATTTTTCGAAATGGAATGTGAAAAAATTGCAGTACTTCAAAAGATGTTTTTCATGTTTTTTATCTATTAACTTGAGATACAGTTCTGAAATAAGTCTCAAGTAAATATCAGAATTGTTGAACGACACGTACATATATCCTTCTACTGAAAAAAAAAAACTTAAAGGGAATGTACAAAAATTTGCTTTTGCTGCAATTTTCAGAAATAAATGGATTTGGAGGATTAGTATGATATAGCAAATAATTGTTGAACTGAATTGTGTCACTTGTTGGGCTTGTAGATGCTGGAAAACCAAGAAAACCAATCATGTTCTGGTAGTCTGGTTCCCAGACCCCATGTAAGATGAAACGGGGAAATTTATAGACTTTGGGGAATTGTAAGGTCAGAGAATCAGTCTAGCAGGCTTGTACAACTTCACGGGTGTGTAATCAATTGCAAAGAAACTGCAGAATAACGTAATTTGAAAAATTAGAAGCAGTTATTGAGAAAAAAGACCAGCATTGGAAAAATACAAGTTTCCTTGAAAATGTCAGCACATCAGGTGCTACGATTTTACAGGATGCTTTAGACCGTCAATCCCTAACAATCCAGTAAGGTATTTCGTGATAATATGATCATTTCGTTTCTTTGATGCTTGCAAATGTTGTATCTTCCCTTTAACATACTCCACATTAGCAGTAGGATGCTTTTGTCTCAGTTTATATTGTTTATTTTTTTTGGGGGGGGGATGGTTTAACAAATATCATGTGACAATGTCCCTTTTTCTGCGTTCCCACCTGGTTCATGTTGTCCTGGGTTATCACTGATCTCCATCACGTACAGCGTCCGTCCCTGCACGGAGGTCCCTATAGAGTACAGGCTAGTGATGTGTGGGTACCGGTCGGCGTAGGCCTGCAGGAAAGTCTTCATTTCCTCATAGTGGTGGTATTCGAAGACCACCGGCTCCACTGAAAAGGAAGAAACAGAGTTAGAAAACACATGCTGAAATACGACTGTGCATTTTCAAATAAGGCCAAAAAAAATATATATTCGGTCTCTGGTCAGAGCAAAGTTCCGGAATCGACGCGGCCACGCGGCTTCTTTTTTTCTTTTCTTCAAGCTTGGATTGTACAGACAAGGTGGGTACTATTTTGCTTTTTTGATGTCCTCATGTACATTGGTGTCCTCCATAATTTGCCTTGGTGCTCTCGATCATTTGCCTTGGTGTAATTTCCCATTCCTTGGTGCTCTTTGGTAAAATAAAATTGAGGAGGTGCGGAAATAGAGGGCGCTGTTGGAGCTACCGCAGAACATTTTGGAAAAAAAAAAAGATTGACGCGCATGATTAAAATCGACGCGCGCGCTGACCAGAGACCAACTTATTTTTTTTTTGGGCCTAAGCACCATTATTATTTGTATCAGGCTTCCAGTGTTAAAAAAAAATCAGCATATTGTTTGCTTTCGTAACAAATACCTGGATGACTGCAATATTTTGTCAATAAAAGTACCCGGATGACTGCAATAATATTGATATTGCAGTCACTGGTCATTTTTCGCTGGTTCCTGAACAAACTGGACACCCATGCATCGGGATTGGCGTGTGCCAGACAGGGCTCTGGAGTGCTCTGAAACGTGCAAAACTAAATCTTTCCACTTGACTCACAGTTTAGCCAGCAAATTTCTCCAAAAATTCCACTGGGGCAAAGAAAATGTCCTCAGTATTTCACCAACCAAGTTTGCAGACTCAATTCCATTTTTAAGGAGACTTTTCTTCAATATTTTGCACATGAGAGGGAAGTCAAGTGATTTCAAAATGGAGCTAAATACTAGACTGGTACATGTCCAACCATGGTCCAACTATTTGGAAAGACTGACCTCTTCATTCAGTGACAATAGTCTGGTGGCTTGACTATGGAGAAATGTGTAGTAAATTGAGACTAGTTCCCGCTTCATGCCACATGTTTCTTAAATTCTTTTGGCATGGTTGATTGATGCAGTACTGAAGCTGTGTTGGACTGGTTGTTTTAGGTGCCAGTCTATTTTTTTTGTTTTCCATGTTTACAATACCTTAAGTTTTGGGACTATCATACACAAATTTTCGGCCTAGGCGTGGGCCTGCTCTGCTTGTCAAAACTTGACAACAGGCTTTCAAGAATAATACAAAAAACAGGCAGCGGAACGGCTGATGTTCGACTGATTCAGAGATGCCAACTTTACAGACTACAAAATAGTAATGATTCTTCCTGCAAAGAGTAATGCTAAATACATAGGACAACAGTCAAGTTGCAGAGTAACCGCAGTACTTTTCAGAGTAACCACAATGTTGGCGTACAGGACAGCTGGCATTTTCAAGAGCAGTAACATGCCTCAAAATCCTAATAATTACTCAAGAGAGTAATGGTTGGCATCTCTGCTGATATTAAAGAAGAAATTCACGCTAATATTCTTCATAGAAGCTCCAATCATGTGCTACAAAAGTGTGGCATTTGATAAGGAAATAAATGTGTGCTCCGGAGGTTTTTATCACTCTGTTTAAGACCACTTAGAGTCTGGGTGCTGATAATTACCCGAGCCGGAACACCCAGACTCTAAGTGGTCTTAAACAGAGTGATAAATACCGACGGAGCACATATTTATTCCCATTCATAAATACCTTTTCAATAAAAAAAATCATATAATTCATTCAAAACATCCCGATTTTGTTCAACAAATTCACTTTATGCTTTTTGAAACATCCCTCTTGCAAAATAATGAGTGTTCAGCTGGCGAGTGAGATGTAAACAACCCTTTTATGGAGATTGACGCGCACGTATCGTGTTCTGCGCGATGTCGCGCAGAACGCACTTGGGGCGTTGCGTTTTGAATTTAGAACTATAAAATTCTGACTCCCTGGTAGTGTTGCGCCTGCCTACGTGAGGATTGTGAACGTTCAACCAATGAAACGATAAGAGGCACTGGTTTTTTAGGAGTCCACATTTTATTGTGACACTGAAAAAGTGTTTAAGACCAGCTAGCCATTTCTTTATCATCCGTTTAAGACCGGCCATGTGACGGGCTCTCGACCAATAGGAATGCGTAAACTGTATTAGGTATTTATGAATAAACAATAAAACCATGGTATACAAATAAAACAACATTCTAATCGTATTTCATCATCTCGAGATATTCAAATATATTCAAATATATATATATTCCAATATTCAGTATTTTTGGCACACACATATATACTAGATGTGACCAACAGACCAATGTCTTTGCATGATTTTGCTCACAGAGAGATTTTGTTGCCCGTAGCATACACAAACACTCCATTTAGAGTGTTTTTTGAGGACGTGAACTCGAGGATGAAAAGCCTGATTAGCAAATACTCAAAATAGTGTGAATTGAAGAGATGCTTATATCTGGAGTGCACTCAGTCCACTTGTAAATGGATTTAAGATCTAGAGAATATTCCTAAGGCAACTACTTAAAAGTGTTATTGAGGGTCTGTACGAACAAGGGTCGTTAAGTGTGTCATACTACAGATTGGTGGTTGTGTTCTTGGGCAAGATAATTTACTGCAATTGCCTCCCCCACCCTGTGTAATGAACAGATTGTGTTAGCCTGACTTGCTGCAAAAAACTCATTTCATGACATGATGAACAGGGGTAATAATTGTGAGGCAATTTGAGACACTGGAATAACGCCATATATCATCATGCCCTTCGTCAGTGTCCTTCTCATCTTCGTTCTCGTGGTCTGGAGCTTTGAATTTGTGGTCTGCGGGTAATTCCGCAGGTCGTGGGTTCGAGTCCGGCCTGGGGTTATGGCGCGTGTGCCCTTGGGCAAGGCACTTTGTCACTCATTGCTTTTCTCCACCCAGGAGTAAATGGGTACCTGTGAGGGCAGAGATGGTTATTGTGTGGTTGCCTTGCGCCGAAATAGCAGCATCGAGCTGTATACTCCCCAGGGAGCTGAGATGGTACTTGGAATGTTTCATTGGCCCAATGAGCAGGGTAATAATGATGTAGCGCCTTGAGCACCAATAATGGTGGATACGTGCACTTTATAAATTATACCCCTTATAACTATACGTGTAAAGGTACCATAAAGGAGACACATTATCGTAATTTCTTCAAACAGTGGGAGACATCGGTATTAGGAAGACATTTTCATGACTCCCTAATGTCACAGCCCCCCTTTAGAGGCAAAATTTTGCTGTCGCAACCAGGTCATATTTGTTGCTCGTGGTTTAATTAGTAAACATACCGAAACTCGTGAGAAAAGGATAGGGGAATATTGGGTTAGGGCACATTTAAGATTGAACAATTTTGTGCACAAGTCTATGGGAATGTCTCCCAAATGTTCAATCCAAGGTAATTATCATTGTCACCATCATTATCACCGTCATAGTCACCATCATTGTCACCATCTTTGTCACCGTCATTGTCACCATCATTGTCACCATCTTTGTCACCATCATTGTCACCATCATTGTCATCATCATTGTCACATCTTTGTCACCATCATTGTCACCACATTTGTCACCATCTTTGCCACCATCATTGTCACCATCATCGTCATCATCCCCTTCACTTTCACTGTCACCACTGTCATTGTTATTGTCACTGTAGCGTCACTGTCACCAACACCATCGTAGCCACTGTCATCATCGCAGTCATTGTCACCGTCACTGTCATTACATCACTGTGACAAGCTTTGCATACTCACGTTCGTCTTCTTCTTCTTCGTTGATTTCTTGTTCTGCATCGCCGGACTGTTTGGCCTTCAGGTCCAGCAGGTCTTCACTGCCTTCCGGAACCAAGAAGAATTCCAATTCCACCGGTTCCCCGTCGGTCACAACCACCGTCTGCGCGTCGCCTGGCCGGTAGCTGAAACAGACAATGAACAAGAACACTGAGAAAGAGTGTTGCAACCTGATGTTTGCAACCTGAATGTTGCAACAGCAGTTGTGTACAAAGTCTATGTAGAGTCCACAAATTTGTTTTAAAGGGAAAATACAACATTTGCAAACATCAAAAAATAAAACTACCAAATCATTTTGAATACCTTGCTGGACTGTTAGTGAATGACAGTGTAAAGCATCCTGTAAAATCATGGCACCTGGTATACTGTCATTTTCAAGAAAAGTGGTATTTTTGTATCAATTTCCAACGCTGATCGGCCGATCAGCGTTGGAAAAAACTGGCTTTTTTCAAATACCGGCCCCAGTTGACCATCGCACTTGTTTGCAATCGATTACACACCTATGAACGGGTAAAAGCCAGCTAGGCTGGTTCCCTGACCTTACAATTCCCCAATGTATGTAAACTGCTCTGTTTCTTCTTAAATGGAGTCAGGGATCCAGACTACAGGAAAATGATTGTTTTTCTTGGTTTTTATAGCATTTTCGAACCCAAAACCTCAAAAAAGTCAGTGTAACTATATTTGCTATATATTTCCAACCCCCCAATTCCATCCATTTCTGAAAATTACAGCAAAAGCAAATGATGTATATTCCTTTATAAAGTATTTCCTAACAAAATTGGAAATGTTTCTCTGTCTAGGATACATGTCTTATTTTCATTTTTGCAATGACTGACCTTCATTAACCCTAACCGAACCCAACCCATCAAAGCCCAACAGCAGGTTTTGTTGAAATCTGTTGGGATAGGTACAGTACCCCTAAACTGATGGGTTTTTTTACATTGGGTTTGGCATACCTCCAGAAACTAAGTCCAACAGTGTGTGTGTACAATTTCCCATGTGGGTGTTGGAATTTGCCTGGATGGGTATGGTTTCTAGTAAAATATGCTATGGTGTTAGGGTTAAGATGAAATATTAAGAAAACAGCAGCGTCAGATTGCAACATTCATTCTGAACACTGTGCGATTGCATGTACCTGAACTAGTGTGGAAATTCCTTTTTGGACGGTAAGGGGGGGGGGGGAGGGGGGGGGAGGGGGGATGGGGTGGGGTATTCAGATCCAGACTTGAATCGCAGGTAATTCAAATAAAAGTGGACATATCAATATAATTCCAAAATTACATATTTACGCTCTTAATATGAAGCCTCAATATTTTCACTGCACAAAAACTGCATCATTCTAAAAAATAACAAATTTCTTGTCCTACCTGTCGGCATGAGCTGATATGGTGTACGTCCCCGGGGTAAGCAGCCGCCAGAAATCACCAAACTGGGCCGTAGTGACATCGTGTAGGATGCTGTCCACAACGATGCGGGTACCGGGGATACCGGTATGCTGCACGGCATCGTACACGAAGCCTTTGACACCGCGATGTACCTTTTGTGATACAAAAACAAGAAATATGTAAACAATCACACATAGGCCAAAAAAAAAAAAAAGTTCTGCTTCCGAAAATAGGGTAGGTAGGTGGGGAATTTATTTTTTTTTTGGGGGGGGGGTTTGGCAATTTTTTTTGTGCGATCGCATGGTGGCATTGAAGTGTAGTCAAGGGTAAAAGGTAGAAATTGTTGGTTTTGGGTGTTTTTTTCTTATTTCTCGGCTCCAATAAAAGAATTAGGGTAGGGGCTGTCAGAATAGGGTAGGTAGGGAAACCGGAAGCAGAACTAGGTTTTTTTGGGGGGGGGGACCATACCTTAAAGAGAAAAATACGTTGATCAAAAAAGTAATGTTACAGGCGCAGAAAGTAGAAACGTTCCAATTCTTTAAGCTTTTAGTAAAGTATATGCATTCTAACAGCATGGATCGATTTCAATTTTTTACAAATGAGTGGAAGAACACGCTCATTTAATCAAAGTATGCTTTGTTTCATAATGTGTCAGCATGAAATTGGTTTCTTTTTTTTTAACTTACCCTGTACAGAAATGAGTACAGATATGGTAGAAAGCATTTAAAAAAGATAGTGGATATTTTGCCGGAGGTAATGACGGCAAACTAACGATTACTAAAGGTTTGCCGGCGGCAATCCATATCAACAGAGGGCGCTGTACTCTTTAAAATAGGGCTGAATTATAAGATGTATTAAATTCCCACCAAAAGTTGTGTAGCACGTTTGGTGTCATGGTTAAGCAAAGGCTCTAGTAAGCGGGATGACTCACGTTCGATTCCGACCGCACCACATTTTAAAGTTTTTTTTCTCATCCCCCAAAAAATAAGAATATTCTTCTTTTATTATTTTAACATGTCTCAAACATTTTTTGCAGAGTATTACATTTTCTTTTTCAGATTTGTGGCTCTGGAGGATTTTTTTTAAAAGGGAAATAAAGTCCGAAATTATAAAATGGTCTGAATCCCATCTTGTGAATACGAGGTAACAACGATAATTTTGGCATGGAGCCAGACTAAAACTTGTCACCGGAAAATGTTTAAGTACAAAAAAACAGTAACTGCGCATGTTCAGTGCATATCCGGCAAACTAACGTTTACTAAAGGTTTGCCGTCTCCGGCAAAATATACACTGCCTTAAAAAATACCCTCATCTTTTAATTTCATTTTTTTTCAGTTGATACTTTTTAATCTACACGTCTTTCTACTTGATTACTGTTTGCAGGACGCCCACACTGTGTGCCGTGTGCAACGGTATTTTCGCCTGTATGATTGAAAGTAATTAATTTGTTCCTGTGCCGTACTGGCCTTGTATAAAAACAGGTCTACATGTACCTGCAAATTTCACAGTCTCATATTTGGCATGCACAGGTACACAAAGACATGTAATTCTGTTTCATTTCAAACTCGGAATAAATTTGCGTCAAACTGGGCCACCGATATTCCTTGTAAGAAATATCTGCTGTTTTATTTCCCCTTCATTGTTTGAAATCGCTAGTCCCTTTTATAAAACCATGAAACTTCTAAAGAAAATCTGGTCATCAATTTTTTTTTTTCAATTACAATTTCAAGAACAATTATTTTCATCAAAAGCAAAGTAAAAGCATTAAGCGAACAGTAAAAAGTTAGTAAAGGACGAAGATATGATTTTGAAAAGCCGAAGAGGCATGCCTATTTATGTAAATGCAAAACTGAAAGCAAAAGATTTCAAGGGTTTTGAAGAAAAAAACAGACAACCAATAGACAGTACAAATGAAACACAGCAATAACCAATGACAGACTGACGGACAAACAGACAACACATGATAATAAGACTAATAATATGGTAATTGTTCGGCTTGTTCCACAACCTGAAACAGTTGTACACATTATGTACAATCCCAATAATAAAGATTATATAAACCTTACTCCCTAGGCCTTTTTGCTAGGGTGTAGCCTCAATCCTGCAAAATCCTCCAATTGGCCTCATGGAAAAACAGCATGTAGCCTCAATCCTGCAAATTCCTCCATTATTTTTTTAATGTGGTCCACGGAGGGGTGACTACTGCCTGAATCCTGCAAAATCCTGCAGCAGTGACTGTCAATGTGTTGAGACTTGGCCAGTGACATCCTGGAGCAGTACAGAGGATTTCGAGCATAATCCAGGCCTATATTTATGCATGGCTGAGCAAAAACAACACAAGGTCCGGCCCAAGACCTTGACAATGTGCAAAATCTGTAAGGCACTTTACCTCAATCCTCCAAATTCCTCCACTTTGGCAAAGAAACTTCTGAAAGATTCCGGGCGGTTAGACAATCTTAAAATTTGTTTTCTAATGTTCAAAGTTTCATACTTCTATAAGTTGTGAATCCCTTTTATACGATCATGAAACTCTTACAGAAAATCTGATTTCGGCTTCATTATTGTATTGCGAATGTCCAATGTCTACCACCAGTAGGCCACACATTAATTTTACCGTTTGATCCTTTGGGGCCCCTTAACTAACTCACCATTTCCATGTAGGCCAGAAGTGACTCCCTGTTGTTGTTCCACTCAGTTGCCAACTGGCTTGCCAACGGGTACTTACAGCACGACAACTCAATGGTGATCTCAAAGCAATTGCTGTGCAGATAGTTGTAGTCTTGCATGCCCCCTTGTGATTGAGAAGAAAATAAAGTAGAAGTTAGGGAGTGCATTCTGCTTACTACATTTTTGCCAGTCAAAGTTTGACAACATTTGGTTAAATGCGATGTCATTTTTTTTAAAGGGAATATACATCATTTGCTTTTACTGTAATTTTCAGAAATGGATGTAATTGGGGGGTTGGAAATATATAGCAAATATAGTTACACTGACTTTTTTGAGGTTTTGGGTTTGAAAATGCTATAAAAACCAAGAAAAACAATCATTTCCCTGTAGTCTGGTTCCCTGACTCCATATAAGAAGAAACAGAGCAGTTTACATACATTGGGGAATTGTAAGGTCAAGGAACCAGTCTAGCTGGCTCGTACCCGTTCATAGGTTTGTAATCGATTGCAAACAAGTGCGATGGTCAATTGGGCCAGTATTTGAAAAAAAGCCAGTTTTTTCCAACGCTGATCGGCCGATCAGCGTTGGAAATTGATACAAAAATACCACTTTTCTTGAAAATGACAGTATACCAGGTGCCATGATTTTACAGGATGCTTTACACTGTCATTCACTAACAGTCCAGCAAGGTATTTCAAAATGATTTGGTAGTTTTATTTTTTTTAGGTTTGCAAATGTTGTATTTTCCCTTTAACCCCAACTCCCAAGGCATTTTGGCTAGGATGCGATCTCAATCCTACAAAATCCTCCGTTATTTCTTGAATGTGGTCCTCGGATGGGTGACCACTGCCTCAATCCTGCAAAATCCTCCAGCAATCACTGTCAAATGTTGAGGCAGAGCCAGTGACATATCCTGGAGCAGTGCGGAGGATTTCATGTATATAATGTAGGCCTAAATTCGTGCACGGCCGAGCATAAACATTACAAGATCTGGCCTAAGACCTTGACACATTAGACCAAAAAAAAAAGTCTCCGGTTTCTGGTATGCGCGCGCGTCGCCGTAGCCATGCGCGTCGGCAAAATGAAAAAGTTTTTTTTTTCAATACAAGATGATGTTTCAAAACCGCCAAACTCACTGGTTTGACTGGAATTCTGCTGCTGCACAATTTTAACGTGTTTTTAGATGGGGTTATGATCGAGAATAAGATTTATGTGGCCTCTCTGGACTCCCATATATTTGCACTAAGTTTAGTCGGGCACCATTTGCAGTCATCAGCCGACATTTGAAGCCCAAAAAAAAAACCCCAAAAAACAGGTAAAAAAAAAAAAAAGCCGCGTCGCCGCACCACTTTTGGGGCAAGCTCCATACCAGAAACCGGAAACTTTTTTTTTTTGGCCTAACACACTTTTGCCATATAGCCTCAATCCTGCAAATCCTCTATTTCCCAAAGAGAAATTTGGAGGTTTTGGGAAGGTGCGTTTTTGCCCTTTTGAAGGGTATTTTGCTGCCTTTTTGGTTTTTATGCTAATGACAATTCGCATATATTCATGAGCAAAACTAATGCAAATTTGCATATTCATGAGTAAAACTGTGATATCATTCTGGCCGGAAACCTCAATTTACAGCTATTTCAGCACAAAAAGTTGCTAATTTTTTTGATATTTTGCTATTACAAATTGTCTTGTCTTTGGTTATTCATTGTTTAAAGAACAAATGTTTTCAATGAGCAAATTTTGTGTTCACAATTTGAACAGAAACCCCCTAAACTGAATTGTCTTCCCAAAATGACATTGCAGCAATGCCCTCAGTTGTCCAGAAAAAAGTATGGAAAATGTTAATGTACAAAAAAGTGCACTTTTCAAAAAAATTAACCAAAAAGAGGATGTCAAATAGTTTTCATACATTTCAGAAAATTGCACAAAATGTGTTCCAAAGAAAACTTTATCGCACGGACGCTAAAAAAAATACACGAATTGTAAAACAATGCAGTTTTTATTATGACTTCATTCTTTGAAACCCTCCTTTTGTTTGATCAGTCACAGACAGTCAGACGTTCAATCCTCTTCCCCTGCCATGCCTATTATTACACAGGCTAGCCACCAACAGTCAGATCATATTTCTTGTAGGCACTTTGACTTAGTCAAATTCCATCAACAGACAAAAGCAGGTGACTGGTAGGCACAGCTGGCTTTCCTTATTCTTTTTTATAGCTCCATGATCAGGTTTCATAACAATCACAGCCAGTCAATCCTGCTTTATGAAGGCAGGGAGCACTCAACTGTTAAAAACAGTCGCTTGATTTACTTCGACTGCTGGGCTGGTCTTGTTGAAATTGCCAGCCAGAGAGGGAGGGTTTGTTATTAAATCAACAAAATACACTACAAATGGAACTGGATGAAAAAAGTTTAGAACAGCAAAATGTTGACCATGGTATCACTGTCAGCAGCAGACTTGATAATTACGTACGCATGTTTGGTGCAATTGGTGGATTTGCACTACTCCCCAATTGGATGGTGCTAAATACATGTATAATCGATCGCACCATTCTGTTGGCGATCGTGCTGCCATTGGTCAATCACCTCATCATTTCAATTCAAAACTCTGGTCTGGTCTGACCGATCACGCAAACGCATTTTTCTGTGTGAAAGCTCAAGTCACGGATCGTGTCCCACGGGTGTCGGTCGTTTCGTACCCAAGTCATTTCGTACCCAAGTCGTTTGGTTACCCAGGTCGTTTCGTACCCAAGATTCATTGCACACATGACAAAGGGTTCCAAATCCTTTTCTATTGAAATAAAAGGGACAAAATATGTATCTATTAATGTATATTCTCCAGGGGATAAGGTTTTTCCTTTGAATGAAAAAAAAAAAAACTATGTAGATCCCAATACGATAGATTTTAAATTGATTTATTGTGTTATTCCAGTGTAATATATTCTTTCAATATGTTTTAAAAATTCAAAAAGGGAAAACAATCTTTAAGGGCGAATCGGAAGATGATTACGTTCATAAAAACGAAAACCAAATGTGTTTTCCAAAGGATTTTTTGCCGCTAGAGGGCCCACATTTTGTAGCTACTGTGCGTGAATGCCACCGCATTGGTCGAGACTTCATCAGTTTTAATACACATTCTGAGGCAGAATGATTGACAGTGAAACAGACAGCCAGTTATGTAGGACGCAATCTTAATCCCTGGGAACTTGATAATGATGCTTCGCGTCAATGACGTCACAGGAGCGGGTTTGCATGACTGGCTTAATCTCCTTTGTGCATCATAATTGACTGGGTACGAAACAACTTGGGTACAAAACGACTTGGGTACGAAACGACCTGCTTCGTGTCCAACAATGATATACTCACCAGGAACATCATACCAGTGAGCTCCGTTAGTTATTCCCCCGGGGAACGATTCGCCGGAGTAGCACTCAGCAGGACCGCGAGACATTGTGAGATGGTTGTCAGCGTAGGCCTTTGCTAACATAACAAAGACCTTATCGTCGGGTGATGAACTGTAAACGCCACTTCGTTTATGCTGTGCGGAATCATCGAAAGGGTAACTTGCGACGACGCTACCCCCATGAAGATTTGCGGACAAAACAAACGGGTAGCTTTCAATCCATTTTATCAGGGCCGAAGTCTCGGGTTCCTGGGGAGGGTCCTTTGACCGAAACTGGTCTGGAAAGTTTCGATTCAGATCTTTATTGTGTGCGTTCTGCCGGCCGCCACTCGCCGACGTGCAGTCACCTTCCGTGGCACTTTCGAACCCATCCGGGTTCATACTCGGCATAATGAAAATGTTTGTGCTGTCGATAAGATTTGTGACTCGATCGTCGATCCCGTAACTTTGGCAAAGATATTGAATTAAGAATATCAGAATTTCCCTCCCAACGGCTTCGTTTCCGTGCATGTTACCGACGTACTTGAACCAGGGCTCACCCGGTTCCACCTCCCCGGCCGATCGGTGATTTGCAAGGCCCACAACTCGCGGCCCTGCACGCTGCTCCCGACTTTGTGCAATTTGTTATGGTCGGATAGTCGGTAGCATATTGATGCATCAAACTCGTCAACTGGGCATGCTTGTGATAGTTTGAAGTGTCCACTTGCGCCTCCTGGAGTCTTTGATGCGAAAGTCTTCCCTCTGTGCTCAAACAAAAGAGCAAAATCGTTAAAATCGTCAAAATTATGAGCGACTTTGTCGCGGTAAACAACGCCATGTCCACAGAGAAATCGCTTCCGTGTCTAGTCTGTGAATAGGAGCTAGTCTGCTGGTAGTATGTAGATCAAATAAGCGATTACCTAATTCGTCAGCTGCAAGGCTTTGGCCATAATCCCGAATTCCGCCAGCCAATCACAGAGATCGTAATCTGGCTTTCGAAGAGGGAAATGGATAGAGGGCGTACTTTCAGTAAACAGACATCCAGTGAGCAGCAGTATCACAACCGGCAAAAAGGAGACTTATGATAATTTATGCTTACGTCTCTAGTTCGCTCCGCCCTATCCCTACAAAGTTTGGTCGTTTAATTAAGAGAGCCAATAAATAGCCCTTTTTGTGGGGCAACCGGTAGCTCCACCCCAGGCCCAGTTGATGACCATTGTCACCCTAGTGATATCTTTTTTACCTTGTCTGTGTAATCGTCTAACTATAAAAAAAGACTATCCATCCAATTTCTGATGTAGCCCTCTTAATCATCTTGCAAGTTGACCTGTCTTTTGCTTGTCCGCTCGCCCATGTCGTACCCATTCAAGCTGTGAGGTCACAGTTAATCATTCTGTTAACCTGTTGTCACTTCTACGAGCCAGTGCCCAGCCATCTCCACTTTGACCTTAAATGACATTCTTAACTCCAGTTTGCTGTCGAATGACAGTACATATCTCACTTTGTCTCCAAGTGAGACGTAGCATTTGTCGTTCCGTTGTTCTTATAGGCCGACTGAAGTTTACTTTATAGATATTCGGTTGTTGACCACATTTCTGACCAGTGGCGTAGCCATGGGGGGGGGGCGTGGGGGGGGGCGATTTTGAGTTTCTAAAAAAATTATCATTGATCTACATGACGCCCCCCCCCCCCCCCCCATGAAATGTTCCAGCCCCCCCCCCCCCCCAGCGCCCCCCACTGAAAAATTCCTGGCTACGCCACTGTTTCTGACCCATCATTGTCATTTTTAATTTCTGTTAATTTTATTGTTTACCTTAGATGGACTCTACCCTCACGAAAACAGGAGAGGTGAAATTTCCTCCAAAAAAAATGGTAAAGTGGACAGAAGTTGCCTCAGATCGCACCACAGATCAGCATCTACAAGCCAAAAGATTTTCGGGCCCTCGAGCGGGCCCCGAACCCGGCCACGCTGTAATTTTCACGCCACTATAGCACTCCGTCCATGCAATAATGCCGGTTAAAGCCACGAATTGGCGAAAGGCTATATGAACCTTCTGACTAATGCATCAAAATGTTCGGATGGGATTAACGAACCTTATTACTGAATTTTCGTAGTATTGAACCTACCCCTCTTATGGGAAATTGGTGCATTCGGACTACCGAACTATATATCGAACCTTCGAATTTGGGGACTGCCTCAATCTGCAGTGTGACATGGATGGAAAAGGCGGAGCAACTTTCCAGGAGTTGAACGAACTCCAACGCAGAACGTGTAGTTTGCCCCCCAGACAGGGCGGCGGAACCGGGGGGCTGGGGGGCATTTGCCCCCCCCCCCCAGATTTTCCCAAGTGCCCCTTTTCCGGCCATAACTGTGCCCCCCTCGCCTCGAGCATAAAAGTGCCCCTTCGATGCCCTTAAAGTATCTGTCTATTTCTTAGACGTAACAATTTCCCAATAATGGTATAGATAGTTGTGATATAAACGAGGAATATGAAAACAAAGCCCCAAAAACCCATACAATACGCCCTGAAAGAAAGGGGCACAGGGGCACATAATGCATAGTAGCATATAATGATCAGTTGGAAAGATGGTACCAGCCCCCAGATGTAGGCCCAAAAAAATAATAATAAGTCGGTCTCTGGTCAGCGCGCGTCGATTTTAATCATGAGCGTCAATTTTATTTCTCCAAAATGTTCCGCGGTAGCTCCAACAGCGCCC